TTTAGCGCTTATTAGAGGTAATTTTACAAGAAAAGCCGTCAGGTGACACATTGGAGTACCTGCCTATTGAATTGAATATAATATTGTGGTATATAAATTAAAGAAAACTGTACGACAGCTCACTCACAGTCCTAATTAGAAATGATTATTTTAATAAAAATACCACTCTTGTTGACGATTTAAAAAATCTGGTGAAGGTCGCGGGAAGTACCTGGATGCAGGCAAAGCAGGACTAGTTGTTTTTGAAGCCCTTGGCGGAGGCCTTTGTCCAGCAGTGGACGTCATTTGGCTAAAACGAACTAACGAACGAATTACTCTTGTTAGACTTTATGGATATTTATTTGACAATCCTACTGCCCTTTGAAGCAACTACAAAAATAAATTGGAGTCGTTCAATCTGTATATCATCACTAAATGGGCAAAAATGGCCTTGACATGAATCCATTTCTTCACACGAACCGCAGGAAGATGGCCATTACAAGCACTGAATGGCCAGTGGCCAATATTGTAACCGCTATGTATCTAAAATGTAACAGCAAGGACATGTAAATAAAAACATATTTTGTGGCACTAACGCACGCATAGACTGGGATAGTGCCTTTTTCAAAATTTCAAAAGCAATCGAAGCGTTCATTTTGGATCCCAAAACCCTAGTAAATTTTATACAGTCAAATCCAGGCTTCTACTAGGAAATATTAATAAAATTATCTTAGTAAGATATAAGTACAAGAGTCAAAATAAATACTAACTAAAGCCTGGTCCAGGCTTTAGCAGCTTAAATCGTAACCAAGCAGTTTTACTAATATTGTCATAAAACCCCATATTATCCATACTTAACTATGACGCCTTGCCTAACAGATAGCTGATGATAACAATGAAATCGTGGCCCAGCAATTTTAATGTTGTTTTAGTACCATCACGCACACGACTGTTTGCCCGCACTAGCGCTACTTATTGACAAATTGTGTTTGTTGTTCTGCTCTATCTGTGGTTCTATTCAACACCAGCGGTGCTAATCCGAAAAACGTTATCTGAAGTTTCGAATGTCCCTCCCTGTCGCGCAAACCGAAATGCCGGCATGAGTGAATGTGACAGGTAACGAAACGTAAACAGCGTTTCGGAGTAGCATTGCTGTTATGAGTAGGGTTGCCGTCCGTCCGGACTTCCCCGGACTTGTCCAAATTTAGAGCACAGTATATATTATCTACTGTGTTTAGAGGGCTTCCGGGTGGGGTTTTTGTTGTCCGGGTATAAAAAAAAAGTTTTGGGTCAATACCGGGCAATGCGACTAAGTTTTATAAAAACCGGGTTCAGGTTCTGGGCTCCAAAATCCGGAGTTTTAACGCGTCTTGTCCTGGTGGTTGTCAAATAGAGATGTCAGCCCTACGGGACTATTCCCACCTCTCGTTCCCACCGCTGCAACTCTTGTGTAGCCAGGATATACAGCTTGACCGCCAATAAAAACCCAACCAGTGAAGGTCAAGTTAATGGCAGCCTCAGTTGTGACGGACGGGACGTGACCACATTCATATTATTATGGTAATATCTGTTTGTATAAGTGTTTATGTAATTTGCGTACCGTTACGAATTTACAAAAGGTTGACTACAATTACGTATAGTTAAGACTTCCTTTTATGCGAGGCGATAGCGCATGATTTTCTTTAAATAATTATTCTAATTATGTTCTATATTTAATATAAGACTTGTGGTTGCTACGTAATATTAGTTAATCTCCCTTAAGAACACTTGAAGTAAATCCAATACATGTTTATCTAACTACGATAAGTAGGTATCATTTATTACCATTATTAATAGTTAAGTATGTATAGCGACAACGTATCAGGCTACCCATTTTTGTTACAAATTCGCCCCTATCACAACTGCATAAGACGCTATAGTGTTTAATATTGGTGTCTGTTATTTAATACATAGTTAGATTTGCAGAAATTATGGGTGAAATTATGCAGAAAACAAGATGTTTATGTACTGTACAGTCAGCGTCAAATATTTCGTGACACTCAAAGTAGCCAATAAGTTCGAAACACGTCTTTGTTACAATCGGAATGAGGTTTGTTTTGCCAACTTTTTGGCCACTACGGGTGTCACGAATCATTTGATACTGACTGTACATAAATAACATCACTAACTTAAAAATAAGTGATTGACATACTTTTTAACACACGTTGAAGTAACTCCGATCATACATCGCTTCCAATTATTTTAGTTCATCCTAGTAATTTACTAGCACTAATTGAATGCAGACAAACGCGGAAAATATATTATACGTCAAATAACATTTTTTGTTGCAAAGAAATTCATTATAAATAGCAATAAAATTCCTTTGCGCTTCACAAACAAGGAAATCGTAACACTTCTAAAACGGGAAGTGAATTCTTCTTAATATACATGGTGTCCCAAAATTAGTACGTCATCTGACACTGGAGGAGTTTAAGACGCATCTATCAAGCCTGATATGTCCATAGAACAGTATAATAAGTTTTGAGTTGAGATATGACCAATTTTAGTTACTAACATCCATAAAATCAGTTATTAATATCTATATAAGTTTGATGAGTTCTGAAATATGACTGATATTAGTTATTTAAATAAAAAAATGACTTTTCGATGCGTCTTAGGCTCATCCACCTCTGGTGTCAGTGTGACGTGCTAATTTTGGGACAACCTGTATAAAAAAAAAGTCCCGATGTCCAATTTATCTTCGGACCAAAAGCCATTCATCGTCCATGTTTTGACTTGGTCATCAGATTAAAGAAAAATATACTTTGTTTACGATATAAACAATGGGTACGGAAATAGACTATAATAAACGATTCCACGTCTAAAACAAACGTTAAAAAAAGAAAGTAAAAAGCAGAAGTTATTTTTCTTTTTTTAATCAGCTTTATACAGTTCCATTTTCATTTGGATTGATGGATATTGGAGTGTGCTTATTTTTTACTAAAATTATTTAAAATAACCTCAACCTTTTATCACCAAAACTAACATTTAAAGCTAAATACTTAAATACTTACTGCGTATTCTGAATTGAACTGAAAAGGTTGGTTTCAGAGACAAAATGGCTATTTCAGAGACAAACTTCCTACGTATTCTGAATTGAAAAGCCAAATAAAGGTTGTTTCAGACACAAAGCTTTTTGTATAAAGAAATCCCAACACAGCCAATTTGCTGGTCATTTTCAAATGGCCTTTCCCGGTAAGTCCCAGGATGACAGTGTACGGGTACATTACCCTATTCACCGCGTGTTTACGACACAAAAACCAGAATTTGATTTTGAATGCTACTCAGAAGCAGTCGCGTGAAAGGGGACCTCTAGTTATAAGTGAAAGTGTTACAGTGCCGCCATTTTTCTTTTTTCTCTTCTTCTTCTTCAGGACTTTGAAGATGAGATGAGATTGAAATGTAGTTATGAAGTTATTTCGAAATGTAACAAACATTTTTGGAAGAATGGTGGGTTTTGTGTAGATTTGTGTTCATTTTGTGGTATTGCCATGTATTTGTGGCGACGCCACTACAAACTAGTGACCAACAGATGGCGCTGTCACTACTTCACTATGGCACACTCCGCCGCTCATACAAACCTGCATCGCGGTGACGGAGTTTTAGATCCTGCCAAGTATATACAGTGTGAGTCACGTTAAAGTGTACATATGAAAATAGATGAAACTAGTCCTATTTTTATCGACAAAAAAGAGGTCAAAAAATTTTTGAGATTTTTTTTTAATTTTTTATAGAATTTTTTTTCTTCCAATTACTTATTGTAAAGAAAACGTAATAACTTTTAAACTAAGCGGTATATCCTGATAAAATAAAAACAGTAATAATGATAAATAACAGGCAATACTAAAAAAATACATAAAATACACAAAAAAGGCCTACAAATAATAAAAAATGATACTTTTTGAAAAAAAATTGCTTTTAAATTCGTGTTTTTTTGGTTATTTGATAAATTTCTCCAAAAAATGCCCCTATAACCGGTGGTTTTTATTACTTTGTATTATTCTCTATCGTATTACCTTCGTAAAACCAAAAATCACATGTCTCTATCCCTATCACAACGTTTGCAATGATCATTTGAACAAAGGACTACCACAACATTATTCTCCGCTACAGGTAGAGACAAATTTAATTTTAACTAAAATGCTTATTTTACTTCGAAATCTTTTGTTTTTATTTGAAATGTAACTTGTCTTTATCAAAATTACAAATCTAGAGCCATTTTCAGTTTCGTTGTTAACGAAGCGTTGAATGGCGCGCCCGGAGAGGCTTAGTTCAAACGATCATTGCAAACGTTGTGATAGGGATAGAGACATGCGATTTTTGGTTTTACGAAGGTAATACGATAGAGAATAATACAAAGTAATAAAAACCACCGGTTATAGGGGCATTTTTTAAAGAAATTTATCAAATAACCAAAAAAACACGAATTTAAAAGCAAATTTTTTTCAAAAAGTATCATTTTTTATTATTTGTAGGCCTTTTTTGTGTATTTTATGTAATTTTTTAGTATCGCCTGTTATTTAGCATTATTACTGTTTTTATTTTATCAGGATATACCGCTTAGTTTAAAAGTTATTACGTTTTTTTTACAATAAGTAATTGGAAGAAAAAAAAATCTATAAAAAATTAAAAAAAAATCTCAAAAAAATTTTGACCTCTTTTTTGTCGATAAAAATAGGTCTAGTTTCATCTATTTTCATATGTGNCGTTGCTCAGACATTTCGTTTGCGAATAAAAACAAATATCTCGACAACACAACCCCGAACACAACACTTCGCCGCTAAAGCGCCGCGCGAGCTGGCTTGTTTCGAGAACGGGTCTGCGTTGCCCGCCCCGCTCCCGCGCCGCCGCCGCTCCCGCCCCGCTGCCCGCTAAACTCGAGGCTGAGGCCTTACAAACGTCAACTCTAAACATCTCTTTTTTCGAAGCCGTCGTTAAATACACTCAAAAATACTTTTATCAACGTTTTTTTACCAACACAGGTCCCCGGCCGCACGTATCCAGTACGCCAATACTTCTTGGAGGACTGCATAGAGCTGACCAAGTTCGTGCCTCCGATCGACTCGAGGAAACGCAAGTCCTCGGGCAAGAGGGCGAATAAGGACGACGAGGAAGATGACGATGAAGGTACGTACTTTGTGATGGGTGATGAACAGAAATGAGGAGATCCGTAAACGAATTAAAGTCGCTAACATAGCCCGACGGATTAGCAAGCTGAAGTGGCAATGTAGTACGCAGAACTGACGGCCGAAGGTTCTGGAGTGGAGGCCGCGTACCAGAAAACGTAGCGTGGGACGTCCACCCACAAGATGGACCGACGACATCATAAAGGTAGCAGGCAGGCGCTGGACGAAGGCCGCTACCAACCGGGCAACATGGAAAGCATTGGTCCCCGACGTATTCGGTCCGTCAATATTTCTTAGAAGACTGCATAGAGCTGACCAAGTTCGTGCCTCCGATCGACTCGAGGAAACGCAAGTCCTCAGGCAAGAGGGCGAATAAGGACGACGAGGAAGATGACGATGAAGGTACGTACTTTGTGATGGGTGATGAACAATGATCAAATTAGAGATGTTTCGTGACCGTTAACATATAATTAACATGAACATGTTCCGGGATTTGACGCAATGCAATCCTCCAATTTATAAAATGGATTATTTTTTTAAAGTTAGCCAATTTTTTTTGCCAACAATATTCTCATGTGCTTAGAGTTGATTTTTTTTTAATTGTCTCATTTTATTTTAAATAGGTCTGGGCGCGGACGAGCAAGATGAAGATTTGAACAAGAACTGCCAATTGAGCAACGACTATTCGCCGGAAACGACAAGGTCTCTACAACAACTCTCGGAAAAAGATGTAAGATATAAGCCAAAAATATATTTATCAGCTTAACATACTATAACATAACAGCACTTATAAATTGTCAAAATATTGTTTTCCGATTGTGTTTCTCCTGTATCACCACTTGATGATAAAGCCCCTGGTAGTTTACCAGTAACTTACCTGACAGATAAACCACAACTTTTGATTTCACAGGTCTTAGACAGTTATCTATTAAGTCAATGGAACCGTTATTTTATTAGTCAGTCAGTTTCATTATTCGCAAACATAAAGAAAAGGCAGCACAACTCAAAATAATCCCAAATCGAGTTATTGCTACTATCAAAATGTGCGTTCAAATCTACATGAAATACTTGCTGTTCTTGTAAAAGAAGTATTTTGAGTTGTACTACTCTCTGTTGTGTTGTTTCTTTCTGTGCGAGTTACGTCAGATAGCTACCTAAAACTTTAGCAAGAACTATTTTATACTTATGGAAGTTCCGAAACTTACAATTAAATACTTTATTACAGATGAGCTTCGAACTCATAGAAGCCATACTGACCTACATCGCCAATCTGAACAAGGAAGGCGCCGTATTAGTGTTCCTCCCCGGTTGGAATCTCATCTTCGCGCTGATGAAGCATCTGACCCAGCACCGGATGTTCGGGGACCAGTCCCAGTTTGTGATACTGCCGCTGCACAGCCAGATACCTAGGGAAGACCAGAAGAAGGTGTTTGTTACGCCTCCACCAGGAATTACCAAGGTACGTAGTAGTTGTTAGCAAGTAAAGCCTTGATCACACGTACCGAGTAATCGGGCGAGACAGTGCTCTCGGCTGAGTGCTCGGTGCGTATGAACATAGCGCCGAGTGATCGGCCAAGTGCTCGGCCGAGCAAAGCGACCAGACAGTAGCTCGACTCCCGTTCAACTTACTAGGCCGAGTATCCACCCTCCCGCTGCCCCGCACTGTCTCGCTCGCTCGCTGGGCAGGTCTGAACGTGCACTGTCTCGCCACTCGCCACTCGGCCAAATGATTGACGTCACGTCCACAGACTAGAGAAAAAAAATACCAACCGAATTGAGAGCCTCCTCCTTTTGTTGAACTGAACTGACTGCTAATTTCAAAACACGTTTTTAACAGCTACTCGCTTACATCACTGTCTTGGCCAAGTAAACATTTTAATGTCTCGTCCGTTTACTCGGTACGTGTGATAAGATTTGTAGTAGTAAGTATACATTGTTTCATCCACGAAGACGCGCAACACCATTCTTCCGCTAATGTTTGAGTGTTATCGGTACACGCTAAATTATCCACACACACGCACACTACAATAATGCCGCTCGGATTGCTCGGATCAAACTCCCCGCACCCCGCGCTTCCCTCAACCCAAAATTGGTGGGGCGCGTCTTCGTGGATGAAACGAACTATAGGAGCAGGCCTGTTAATATCTCCGAGTAGGTATCGAAAACAAAACACACGCGTTGCCTTGACGCGCTTTCAATCCAAAAGGGATTCTCGAGCGAGCAGTGAGTGACGTTCGCGCGTATTCTTCATCCATTGTAAAAAAAATATTCGCCATGGAAAGAAGAGAAAATACGCATGCTAAATGGGCTGAGTGTGAGTTTACATCAAACGCGCTCACTAGTGAGTAAACTGTATGAAAATTTTAGTTCTTGAACTTTTCCGATAGGGGCGCTGTACAATCCGTCATACATTTAATGTCATTTTTTAACGCGCTCACACTAGGCCCTCCGATCAATGTCATATGTAAACGAAACGGTGTTCGACTCTGACATAAGCTAAATTACACAGCTATAAAAATTGTTCACCATGCCTATTATTATTTAATTTCAGGTGATCCTATCAACCAACATCGCAGAAACGTCAATCACGATCAACGACGTGGTCTACGTCATAGACTCGTGCAAGGCCAAGATGAAGCTGTTCACGTCACACAATAACATGACGTCATACGCCACTGTCTGGGCTAGCAGGACTAATTTGGAACAGGTTAGTATTTCTAGGCCATTCGTGCGTAAAAAAAAAATTTTAGGCTTAAATTAAAGGTATAAAGTACACAGTCAACGTCATAGACTCGTGCAAAGCTAAGATGAAGCTGTTCACGTCACACAACAACATGACGTCATACGCCACTGTGTGGGCCAGCAGGACTAATTTGGAGCAGGTTAGTATTTCTAGACCTTTCCTGCGTAAAAAACATATTTTCAGGCTTAATTAAAGGTATAAAGTACACAGTCAACGTCATAGACTCGTGCAAAGCTAAGATGAAACTGTTCACGTCACACAATAACATGACGTCATACGCCACTAATTAGGAGCAGGTTAGCTATTTATGATTGACCTTTTATAAAAACCAGTGGTGGAAATAGCCTGCAGAATTGCTAAAATTAAGTGGCAGTGGGCGGGGCACATAGCTCGTGGAGCTGATGGCCGTTGGGGCAGAAGATTTTCGAGTGGCGACCACGAGCCGGGAGACGTATTGAGCAGGCCTTCCACTAGGTGGACTGACGATCTGGTCAAGGTTGCACAAAGAATCTGGATTCGGGCAGCGCAGGACCGGTCGTTGTCGAAATCCTTGGGGGAGGCCTTTGTCCAGCAGTGGTCGTCATTTGGCTGAAACGACGACCAAATATGAAATGCCGAAAGCAAATTCAATAATAATATTTTGTTTGTTATAGCGCAAAGGCAGGGCAGGCCGTGTGAGGCCTGGCGTTTGCTTCACGCTTTGCACACGAGCGCGCTTCGACAAACTCGAAGAACACCAAACGGCCGAGATGTTCCGCACTCCGCTACATGAGCTGGCTCTCAGGTAAGACAAATCACAAATCATCCATTTCACCTAAGACTCGGATTTCACCAAAGCGGAAAGGAGAGATGTATTTGCATAATCAATCAGTTATCTGAACCGAAGCTGACTGAGGATTTAATGTTGAAATAACAAAATCTGATTGGTTATTCAAACACATCTCCCTCCTTTGGTGGATACCGGGTCTTAGTCCGTTGCCATAATTTGGGGAGGTCTGATGTTTGTATATTTTCTCCTTTAGTCGCCTTAGTAGCCTCTGATGACATCACTGGAAAAATGGGGGTGATCCTATGCGAGTTCCCAGGCCTCCCCAACACTGGCCAGCATAAATTGTAAAACTTTACCTTTGGAAAATTAAAGAGCTGGGCTCCTGCAGTCCTTCCTACTAATATTATAAATGCGAAAGTTTGTGTGGATGTCTGGATGTTTGTTACTCTTTCACGCAAAAACTACTGAACGGATTTTGTTGAAACTTTACAGTATTATTGTTTATAACCCAAATAGGCTATAATTTATGACGATATGTGACAAACTAAATTTCAATAAATAAATAAGATGTGGGTAAAAAGAAAAGAAAGAAAAAAAAAAAAAAAAAAAAAAAAAAAGCGCCATCTATCGTCATTGGTTAAAATCTACAGCCTTGGACAAAAAAAATTAACATTCCTAAATATTCATGCGGGGAAGCCGTGAAACCGCATCTATCAACATCATTAGTAATTAAACGANAGCGCCATCTATCGTCATTGGTTAAAATCTACAGCCTTGGACAAAAAAAATTAACATTCCTAAATATTCATGCGGGGAAGCCGTGAAACCGCATCTATCAACATCATTAGTAATTAAACGAGGTCCACGCGTACGAAGTCGCGGGCAGCCGCTAGTGGCGAATAAATTACCAGTAGGCCTAAGATGCGCGCCGTGATAGGCCGTTATCACGCTATTTTATCGATTTTGCCCATACTAATTGACGTCGATAAAAGTTATCACGGCGCGCATCTTAGGCCTACTGATATGATATGTCCTAATTGAAGCTAATTGACGTTTTAACTGACCACGAATCATCTTTGCAGCATCAAGCTCCTCCGCCTAGGCAGTATAGGCCACTTCTTGTCCAAGGCACCAGAACCGCCGCCGCTTGACGCCGTCATAGAGGCAGAAGCCATGTTGAGAGAACTGGGATGTCTGGATGTGGCCAACCAGGATGCTTTGACGCCGCTAGGGACTATACTCGCGAAGCTGCCTATTGGTGAGTGATAGTCGACCTTATTACTATGGAAATATGACAGAAATTGCACTACCACATGCGCTTGACGCCGTCATAGAGGCTGAAGCCATGTTGGGAGAATTGGGGTGTCTGGATGTGACCAACCAGGATGCTTTGACGCCGCTAGGGACTATACTTGCGAAGCTGCCTATTGGTAAGTGATAGTAGACTTTATTGCTATAGGATACGACAGAAAGTGTACTACCACATGCGCTTGACGCCGTCATAGAGGCTGAAGCCATGTTGGGAGAATTGGGGTGTCTGGATGTGGCCAACCAGGATGCCTTGACGCCGCTAGGGACTATACTCGCGAAGCTGCCTATTGGTAAGTGATAGTCAACCTTATTACTATAAGAATACGACAGGAATTGCTCTGTTACATACGCTTGACGCCGTCATAGAGGCAGAAGCCATGTTGAGGGAACTGGGATGCCTGGATGTGGCCAACCAGGATGCCTTGACGCCACTAGGGACTATACTCGCGAAGCTGCCTATTGGTGAGTGATAGTCGACCTTATTACTATAGAAATATGACAGAAATTGCACTACCACATGCGCTTGACGCCGTCATAGAAGCAGAAGCCATGTTGAGAGAATTGGGGTGTCTGGATGTGGCCAACCAGGATGCCTTGACGCCGCTAGGGACTATACTCGCGAAGCTGCCTATTGGTAAGTGATAGTCAACCTTATTACTATAAGAATACGACAGGAATTGCTCTGTTACATACGCTTGACGCCGTCATAGAGGCAGAAGCCATGTTGAGGGAACTGGGATGCCTGGATGTGGCCAACCAGGATGCCTTGACGCCACTAGGGACTATACTCGCGAAGCTGCCTATTGGTGAGTGATAGTCGACCTTATTACTATAGAAATATGACAGAAATTGCACTACCACATGCGCTTGACGCCGTCATAGAAGCAGAGGTCATGTTGAGAGAATTGGGGTGTCTGGATGTGGCCAACCAGGATGCCTTGACGCCGCTAGGGACTATACTCGCGAAGCTGCCTATTGGTAAGTGATAGTCAACCTTATTACTATAAGAATACGACAGGAATTGCTCTGTTACATACGCTTGACGCCGTCATAGAGGCAGAAGCCATGTTGAGGGAACTGGGATGCCTGGATGTGGCCAACCAGGATGCCTTGACGCCACTAGGGACTATACTCGCGAAGCTGCCTATTGGTGAGTGATAGTCGACCTTATTACTATAGAAATATGACAGAAATTGCACTACCACATGCGCTTGACGCCGTCATAGAAGCAGAGGTCATGTTGAGAGAATTGGGGTGTCTGGATGTGGCCAACCAGGATGCCTTGATGCCGCTAGGGACCATACTAGAGAAGCTACCCATCGGTGAGTGATAGTAGACTTTATTGATATAGGAATACGACAGGAATTGCTCTGTTACATGCGCTTGACGCCGTCATAGAGGAAGAGGCCATGTTGAGAGAACTAGGATGCCTGGATGTGGCCAACCAAGATGCTTTGACGCCGCTAGGGACTATACTCGCAAAGCTACCCATCGGTGAGTGATTGTCGACCTTATTACTATAGGAATATGACAGAAAGTGCACTGTGCATGCGCTTGACGCCGTCATAGAGGCAGAAGCCATGCTGAGAAAACTAGGGTGTCTGGATGTGGCCAACCAGGATGCCTTGACGCCGCTAGGGACTATACTCGCAAAGCTGCCTATCGGTAAGTGATAGTAGACTTTATTGCTATAGGAATGCGATAGGAAATACAGTGCGTGCGCTTGACGCCGTCATAGAAGCAGAAGCTATGTTGGGAGAATTGGGGTGTCTGGATGTGGCCAACCAGGATGCCTTGACGCCGCTAGGGATTATTCTCGCGAAGCTGCCTATTGGTAAATGATAGTCGACCTTATTGCTATAGGAATACGATGGGAAATACAGTGCGTGCGCTTGACGCCGTCATAGAGGCAGAAGTCATGTTGAGAGAACTGGTATGTTTGGATGTGGCCAACCAGGATGCCTTGACGCCGCTAGGGACTATACTCGCGAAGCTGCCTATAGTTAAGGCTAAGAACTCACGGCGTGATTATCGTTTCAGCTCGTAATGACAACTTCTCAAAATAACAACCGGGGCGCAAAATGTCCACTTCTCGAAATGACAACTTCTTAAAATGTCAACTTCGCTAAAAGACAACTTCTCATAATGTCTATTTCTCACAATGATAAATTCGCATTTGGTCAACTTCGCATAATGACAACTCTAGAAGAACTAGAACTCTAGAAATATTGAAAATAAAATATCAACAAGTAGTTGACGGACTTCTCTAAAGCCGCAATCGATCTCCTTCGAAGATTCAACTGGTTCCCAATGCTGCAATCGACCTCCTTTAAAGACACAGACGGCTTCTGAAGCCGCAACTGACCTCAAAAGCCACAACCAGGCTCTTCCAAAACCACGATTAAGGCTGTTTTCAGAGTCAAGCGTTTAACCGGTGCCGGTCGCACGCGCGCACTTACAATTACTCTAGGTAGTATTAATTTGCGTTTCATAGACACGCCGTTCAAACAGTACACGTAACAGTAATAAGACTCGTTTCACAGCGGTCTGCCGGTCATGCGCGCGCTATTGAGACGCACTGGCCGACAGCACGTGCCGCCAGCGTTACTCTGAAACTAGCCTAACAAAAAAAATCGTGCCAACGAAGAAACCATATTAATTTAACATTTGAATACTTCCAGAGCCTCGCCTAGGCAAGATGATGGTCCTCGGCTTCGTACTGGGCGTGGGAGACGCCCTAACCACGATGGCGGCCAACTCGACGACGTTCCCCGAGGTGTTCGCGCTGGAGGGCCGCCGCCGCCTGTCCGCGCACCAGCGCGCGCTGGCCGGCGAGCGCGCCTCCGACCACGTGGCCATGCTCAACGCCTTCCAGGTGGGTGCTGCTTGTGTGTTTTTGCAATTTACCATAACCATTATCATAACCTTGACCATGACCATAACATTGACCATGACCATAACCTTGACCATGACCATAACATTGACCATGACCATAACCTTGACCATGATCATGACCTTAACCATGACCATGACCATATAATGCCGCGTGACCTTAACCATGACCATGACCATATAATGCCGCGTGACCATATGCAACGCCTACTGGATAACTACAACGCGTGGCTAACAAAGGATACAGTTTCTTCCGGCTCTTCTTCTTAGCAGCAGCCTACATGTCAGTAGGGCAAGCTATATTTGAGACGGCTAGGCAAGATGATAGTGCTAGCAGGGTTACTCCAAAAATCGTTATTTGAAGTTTCTCAAATATTGCCATCCCTCTCACGCAAAGCGAGACACTAATATGAGCGCTTCCGAAAAAACCTTGTCCGAAGTTTCTAATGTTGCCATCCCTCTCACTCAAAGCAAGATACTAGCATGAGCGACGTTGTCAGATAGACCAGAAGCAGCGTTTTAGTAGCCTTCTAGGCGTCGTGCTCCAGGTTTAGTCCAAAACCTTATCCAAAGCTTCTAATGTTGCCATCCCTCTCACGCAAAGCGAGATACCAGCATGAGCGACGGTAATAGACTAGAAACAACGTTTCGTAGTAGCCTTCTAGGCGTCGTGGTTAGGTCGTGCTCTAGCATGATTAGTCAAAAAATCTCTATCCAAAGCTTCGAATGTTGCCATCCCTCTCTCGTAAAGCGAGACGCCAGCATGAGCGACGGCGACAGACAGACAGCAGCCCTCTAGGCCTCGTGCTAGTACGATGGCGGCAACTCGACGACGTTCCCCGAGGTGTTCGCGCTGGAGGGCCGCCGCCGCCTGTCCGCGCACCAGCGCGCGCTGGCCGGCGAGCGCGCCTCCGACCACGTGGCCATGCTCAACGCCTTCCAGGTGGGTGCTGGTTGTGTGTTTCTGCAATTGACCATAACCATGATCATGACCATAACCTTGACCATGACCATAACATTGACCATGACCATAACATTGACCATGACCATAATCTTGACCATGACCATAATCATGATTATGACCATCACCTTGACCATAACCATAATCTTGACCATGACCATAGAATGCCACGTAACCATATGCAACGCCTACTGGAACTTAAGACGGCTAGGCAAGATGATAGTGCTAGCGAGGTTACTCCAAAAATCGTTATCTGAAGTTTCTCAAATGTTGCCATCCCTCTCACGCAAAGACAGATGTCAGCATGAGCGACTCCGAAAAAACCTTATCCGAAGTTTCGAATGTTGCCATCCCTCTCTCGCAAAGCGAAACACTAGCATGAGCGACGTTGTCAGATAGACCAGAAGCAGCGTTTCGTAGTAGCCTTCTAGGCGTCGTCCTCTAGGTTTATTCCAAAAAATATTATATGTAGCTTCTAATGTTGCCATCCCTCTCACGCAAAGACAGATGTCAGCATGAGCGACTCCGAAAAAACCTTATCCGAAGTTTCGAATGTTGTCATGAGCGACGGTGACAGACTAGTAACAGCGTTTCGGAGTAGTTCTCTAGGCTTCGTGCTCTAGGTTTAGTCCAAAAATCGTTATCCAAAGCTTCGAATGTTGCCATCCCTCTCACGCAAAGCGAGACTCCAGCATAAATGACAGTGACAGATCAGAAACAGCGTTTCGTAGTAGCCTTCTAGGCTTCGTGCTCTAGGTTTAGTCCAAAAATCGTTATGCAAAGCTTCGAATGTTGCCATCCCTCTCTCGTAAAGCGAGACGCCAGCATGAGCGACGGCGACAGACAGACAGCAGCCCTCTAGGCCTCGTGCTAGTACGATGGCGGCAACTCGACGACGTTCCCCGAGGTGTTCGCGCTGGAGGGCCGCCGCCGCCTGTCCGCGCACCAGCGCGCGCTGGCCGGCGAGCGCGCCTCCGACCACGTGGCCATGCTCAACGCCTTCCAGGTGGGTGCTGGTTGTGACCATGACCATGACCATAATCATGACCATAACCTTAACCATGACCATAACATTGACCATGACCATAACCTTGACCATGATCATGACAATAACCTTGACCATAACCATGATCATAACCATAACCATGATCATGACCATAATTATGACCATAGAATGCCACGTGACTATATGCAACGCCTACTGGATAACTACAACGCGTGGTTGACAAAGGTGACAGTTTCTTCCGGCTCTTCTCTTAGCAGCATCCTAGATATCAGTAGGGCAAGCTTTACTCGAGACAGCCAGGAAAGATGATGGTGCTAGCGAGGTTACTCCAAAAATCGTTATCTGAAGTTTCTCAAATGTTGCTATTGCTCTCACGCAAAGTCAGAAGTCAGCACGAGCGACTCCGAAAAAACCTTATCCGAAGTTTCTAATATTGTCATCCCTCTCACGCAAAGCAAGATACTAGCATGAGCGACGGTAACAGACTAGAAACAGCGTTTCGTAGTAGCCCTCTAGGCTTCGTGCTCTAGGTTGAGTCCAAAAATCGTTATCCAAAGCTTCGAATGTTGCCATCCCTCTCCCGCAAAGCGAGACGCCAGCATGAGCGACGGCGACAGACAGACAGCAGCCCTCTAGGCCTCGTGCTAGTACGATGGCGGCAACTCGACGACGTTCCCCGAGGTGTTCGCGCTGGAGGGCCGCCGCCGCCTGTCCGCGCACCAGCGCGCGCTGGCCGGCGAGCGCGCCTCCGACCACGTGGCCATGCTCAACGCCTTCCAGGTGGGTGCCGGTTGTGACCATGACCATAACCATAATCTTGACCATAACCATGACCATGGCCATAACCATGATCATGACCATAACCTTGGTCATAACCATGACCATAACTATAGAATGCCACGTAACCATATGCAACGCCTACTGGAACTTGAGACGGCTAGGCAAGATGATAATGCTAGCGAGGTTACTCCAAAAATCGGCATTCGAAGTTTCTTGNTGGGTGCTGCTTGTGACCATTACCATAACCATAATCTTGACCATAACCATGACCATGGCCATAACCATGATCATGACCATAACCATAGAATGCCACGTGACCATAATATGCAACGCCTACTGGATAACTACAACGCGTGGCTGATAAAGGTGACAGTTTCTTCCGGCTCTTCTTCTTAGCAGCATCCTAGATATCAGTAGGGCAAGCTTTACTCGAGCGAGACAGCTAGGAAAGATGATGGTGCTAGCGGGGTTACTCCAAAAATCGTTATCCGAAGCTTCTAATGTTGCCATCCCTCTTACGCGAAGCTAAGACCTCCGACCATCCGGCCATGCTCAACGCCTTCCAGGTATGTTTTTATTTTGAATCTTTCATGATGACCATAATCATGACCATAACCTTGACCATGACCATAACCTTGACCATGACCATAACCATGATCATGACCATAATAACCATGATCATAATCATAACCATGACCGTAGAAGTCCACGTTACCATATGCAACGCCTACTAGCTACAAAGGTGACGGTTTCTTTCGCCACTTCTTAGGAATAGAGATGACGAGAGAGTTCCATATGACACTGGCCGTTTCCATCAATCAGTGATGCGCAAAGCATTTCCCAAGTTCCCCATTATACACAGATACATACAGGTGTTCGTGAACTTAATTTAACATATTTGTCAGTAGATGTGGGAGCGAGAGCGCAACAAGGGCGAAGAGAAAGAACTACAGTGGTGCGAGTGGAAGGGAGTGCAACAAACGACTCTACGGGTCACGTCTGAAGCCAAGTACCAGCTTATAAGTAAGAATTTTGTAACATTGAACATTGTAATATATTGTTTTTTTTTTGTTTTGTTACTCTAGCAAAAGCCGAAAGCATTTTGATGGTACTGTTTTCTAACTTTCTCACGAGGTTGCGCCCACTGCGCTGCTTAGACTATTTACGTTACCGATACGCGTGCGTGCGCCCGCGCAATTATTAGTTAGTGTAGTCCTTTGCCTAACCATAATCAGAGTAAATACAAACGAGTATTGTATTTACTCTGCCATAATGCCTCAATCAAAAAGTCAGTCGCTTTTCTTAACAAGTGTCTGAGTTTCTTCCGTTTCTTCCGCCACTTCTCAGCTCTAAATAATGTCCCAAGTGGTAATAGGGCAAGCAACACTTCTATCTAGTAAGTAATCAATAAAGTACTTCAATGCTTTCTCACCAGACATCCTGACGACCGCCATCGGGTTCCCCGAAGAGTGCTGTGCGCCGGAACGCTGGAATCCAACAGGCCCCGACCCAATGTTGGATCTCGTCGTAGCGCTCATGTGCATGGGGCTTTATCCTAATGTCTGTCTGCACCAGGGCAAGAGAAAGGTAAGTGCTACGTTGCTTCCCTTCTTTACTAGAAGACAGACGTGACAGCAAAATGAAATGGTCTTACTAAGTAAGTATTCCTCTCTAAGAAGAGGAAGGAAAATTACCTTGTTGTGGATAAACAAATTTTTGGTCAGTAACTATCACCAAATCTGTTCTACGTAATGTAAACTTAGAGAATTGCCAATATTAATTCACATTAGAAAGACAAAAACATGTAACGGAATATCCTATTTCCCATTTTAGTGGAGCGATTACAGGAAATTAAGGCCTATTAAGTACATGTTTTTGTACTGTTATGAAAGTTTAGATAACTGCGCAGTACATTTAAAATTACTTAGGACCTATGGTCCTCACCTATCACCTGTCTTCGGCTTGACACCTCATAGGAAACACCCTGTATAAGAAAAGGAGGAGGTGGCTAAATGACCTCATGATGATAGATCTTCGATAGCTTTTTTCTTTCGCTTGTTTTCTTCCTTATTGCATATTCGTTTGTTCTCATTTTCCCAGGTGCTAACAACAGAAGGCAAGCCGGCCCTCATCCACAAGACCTCTGTCAACTGCAGTAATCTCGAGCAGAAGTTCCCGTCGCCATTGTTCGTGTTTGGAGAGAAAGTGCGCACGCGCGCTATTAGTTGCAAGCAGACCACCATGGTGGCGCCACTGCATCTACTGCTCTTCGCTTGTAGGAAGGTGGAATGGGTGAGTCGCTTCATCACTACATAGTATAAAACAAAGTCGCTCTCCGTTGTTTGTCCCTGTGTATGCTTAAATCTTTAAAACTACGCAACGGATTTTATACGTTTTTTTAAATATACTCTGGTCCGTGAGCACGTAGAATTTTGTCCAATGACCCCAAGCTACCCATCCTTATCGCTCGCGCGTAATTATGTTGCTATCGCGCTCGCACACTCACTGCGGGTGCCAGTCGCACAGTCGCGACAGCAATATAATTACGCGCGAGCGATAAGGATGGGTAGCTAAGGGTCATTGGACAAAATTCTACGTGCTCACGGACCGAGCTTTAGAGTGATTCAAGAGGTAGGTTTATATGTATACTTAGCACCCGTACGAAGCCGGAGCGGGTCGCTAGGTCAATATAATATAGACACTGAAATAGGGTGGTTTATTCCACCAACACCAGTTAACCTGTGAGGTCGTCCGTCACTAGTGGCTGGCGCGTTCACCAAGTAGGTGCCACTAGCAACTAAGGTGCTGTAAGGATATTAACTGGAAAGAGTGGCATCCTATTTTATTCAACTGCAACCATACGCGGGTCGTGGATGTCGCAATATGCAATTAAGGGAGAAATGGCCTCTCGAATCCGTCAACTTGTGGAGTGTATATCATATTATATTATTATGGCCACTGGTAAATTAAAAGGGATTGTTTTCCTGCAGTGGAGACAATTACGCCCGTATTCACAAACATCACTATGAGGTCTCACAGTGCGCGTGGATGCACAGGGTGGCACATGAACCAATCACAACGCTGTGCGTTCGATTTCTGCTTCACTTAAGCAAGTATCGTTTGTGAATACGGGCGTTGAATCTATTTTGCGTGCAGATAAAATCGACCGTAGCCACAATGCGCTCGTTCTTCTTACAGGTGGACAACATGATCCGCCTGGACAACTGGCTGAACCTAGAGATGTGTCCGCGCGCGGCGGCGCTGGTGGTGGCGCTGCGGCCGGCCGTGGAGCGGCTGGTGGAGCGCGCCGCCGCCGAGCCCGACGCCGCGCTGCACTTCACGCCGCACGAGCAGAAGGTGAGGGGACAGCCTAGTGTAGGAAGGGGGACACGAGGTAAGGAGAAAGCCTGGCCTGGGAAGGGGGACAAACTAGAGCGGGAACGGGGACAAACTAGCCCGAGAACGGGGACAGCCTGCCCCATAATATAGACTAGGAAAGGAGACAGCCTACCAGAAGAATGGAGGACAGCCTGGCCCAGGTAGGGGGACAAACTAGCCCGAGAACGAAGACAGTCTTCTAGGGACATGGAGAAAAGGGGGTGACAGCTGCGCGCCGCCGCCGAGCCCGACGCCGCGCTGCAGTTCACGCCGCACGAGCAGAAGGTACGGGGACAGCCTAGTGTAGGAAGGGGGACAGCCTAGCCCGGGAAAGGGGAAAGCCTGGCCTAGGTAGGGGGACAAACTAGCCCGGGCACGGAGACAGTCTTCTAGGGACAGGGAGAAAAGGGGGTGGAAGCTGCCAGAGAATTTAACGCCTCTACACTTACCCAATGATTCCTCCCTAAGTGTCTAAAATGTGGGGGACATTGATCCGCCTCGACTACTGGCTGAACCTAGAGATGTGTCCTGGTGGAGCGCGACGCCGAGTAAACTAGCCCGAGAACGGAGACAGTCTTCTAGGGACAGGGAGAAAAGGGGGTGACAGCTGCCAGAGGATTTAACGCCTCTACACACTAATGATTCCTCCCTAAGTGTCTAAAATGTGGGGGACATTGATCCGCCTCGACAACTGGCTGAAACTAGAGATGTGTCCTGGTGGAGCGCGCCGCCGAGCAAACTAGCCCGAGAACAGGGACAGTCTGCTAGGGACGGGGACAGAAGGAAATGGCAGCTGCCAGAGGAACTAATGCCTCTACACTTACCTAATGATTCCTCCCTAACCCCCTTACTAATTAAAAAGTTACACAGTTGTTGAACACTGTTTTAAAATGACATTTCCATACTAAACGTCACTTTAAAACACTGTTCAACGAGCGTGTAAGTTTTATTAGTAAGAGGGTAAGTGTCTAAAATGGGGGACATTGAGCAGAAGGTAAGGGGACAGCCTGGCCCGGGAACGGGACAAACTAGCCCGGAAACGGGGACAGTCTTCTAGGGACGGGGAAAGAAGGAGATGGCAGCTGCCAGAGGGATGGACGCCTCGACAACTGGCACGCCGCACGAGCAGAAGGTAAGGGGACAGCCTGGCCTAGGAAGGGGGACAGCCTGGCCCGGGAAGGGGACAAACTAGCCTGCAAACTAGGACAACCTAGCCCGAGAACGAGGACAGTCTAAAATAGAAAGACTTGAGTTACATTATGACAGTCTAGACCAGGAAGGTGGTGAACCTGGTCCCGGAACGCGACACCTTCTCCAGATAGAGGGACAGTCTGGCACTGGAAGGGGGACAGTCTGGCCCAGGAATAGGTAAAACCTAGCTAGAAATGGAGACAGGAAGGGGAGCGCCTGGCCCAGGAAGCTAGCTTAGTCCAGAGGGGCAGACTGGCCCAGGAACAGGACTGGCTCTATACCTACTTATTATTCCTCCCAAAGTGAATATTCGTGAACAAATTCCACTCATGTTTACAACTGTTCCAAGCTATAGTTTTCCAAAAATCAAATCATTTTTGTCATTTGTCTTAACAGGTAGTGGACTGCATAAAGGCACTCTGCATCATGGACGCCGGAGATTACAATATCACGCGTGAAACGACCCCGCTCGCGTTCAGGCCCGATGGAGCCAAGAGAGGAAACCGCGGGTGGGGTACTAGTGGTCCCCGCGCCGGCTTCGGAGGCGGTTTCGGCAACCGAGGAGGCTTCGGCAGCAACCAGGGCGGTTTCGGCGGCAACCAAGGCAGTTTTGGCGGCAACCAGGGCGGCTTCGGCGGCAATCGCGGCGGATTCGGCAACCGAGGCGGTTTCGGCGGCAACCGAGGCGGATTCGGCGGCAACGACGGCGGATTCGGAAATAGGGGCGGTTTCGGCAACCGCGGCCGAGGTTTCGGCAGAGGGGGATTCAGGGGAAACTCCAATTGGCATTGAAGCATTCCTACCTAGCTAATTTTTGGACTATAGTCTATCGCCTATTATACCTCAATGACTATAGTCTGTGATAGATCTATAATAATATGTGTTGTGTATGTAATAAAGTGACAAAGTTTAAAGAAGTAACTAGTTTTATTTATCACATTAGCACATAACAATAGCTTTAATCTAAAATAATACACTATGTGTAAGCATACACATAAGACCATCCATGATTATAATAACTATCAGTAAAATACAACGAAAGAACTTTGAAAATACTAAAAATAATTAAAAGAAACAAAGTAAATCAAATAATGTCTAACATTACATCTGATTTTAAGGAAAAGTAACAACTATGATGAGAAGAAATACATTAAAATCTAAAATAAAAACGCCCGTCGGCGTTAGCCTTCGTCAGTCAACCGGATGCTGAACTACTATTAATATAAACTCCTTGTCTGGTGCCACCATCACCTCGCTTCTCTTACTGCGGATTCTTAGGAACGTCAAGTCGTTGGAGGGGTCCAGGTCCCTGACCACTGCTTTCGCCTTGTCCACTAAAGCTGACATCAGACCGGCGTACTGGACTGAGACGTGGTTCTCTAAAGTGGTCTTGATGGGTATACCTACGAAATTAATGTTTAAAGCTATTTTAGCAGTCGACTGCCAGACCAGTACTCAGAAAATTAATTCTGAGGATAAGTATGACTCATTTCACAAAGATTTTAGTGAAGGGAAAACGCTTTCTATTCCAAATTTCCTACAGGTACATAGTGTCAGCAGGATTCCCATGTTCGATTCTGGGTCTGGTTAGGTAATTAAGAAAAATCCTCTCTCTTACTGCCCTACGACAATATTGCATAACGTGCTCTGTGATTGTACATGTAACAGCGTTTTTGCGTCGTCCTATCCGAATACGTGAAAATACGGCCCGGGAATACATAGAACTATTCCGCGAGTCGGAGTTCACGCGTAGAATCGGAAGTATTGAGAAATGAGGGCTATCGCTTTTATACATAACAATTGGCACCCCTGGCGATTGACAGGACCTTACTCTACAATGGCGCCATCTTGATTAGTGCAAATACGATAGTCCTCCTACCACTTTCGCGCTCACCAGTTGGTGCCACTGTCTTCGCTACTAGCAAGTGACAGGACCTTACTCTACAGTGGCGCTAACTGGTGAGCGCTAAAACGATAGCCCTCATTGGTCTAAGACGCTCTACTTTCTACTGTGTACTTGATCAACAAGGACTGGAATTTTAATTTGTTTTACCTTCTCCATTCACGATGACTNCATATACCCATTTACCTAACACCCTGTATTTTGTGTATTAACTCTCAAATACTAAATTATTGATTTTATTCAAGAATCCATCTTGTATGAAAGTTTGTTACTATCGCAAAAGTTGCAGGACGAATTTGATAAAACAATTTTTCAACTTTTCATCATATGATTTCATGAACCTTTGTGGCCATACTGTGTAGGCTCTTGCCTAACTTCAATGCCTCAATCTGAAACTCATGCCCGTTTCCATCCCTAATTTTTAAGTGACCCTTATAAAAACAATTTTGTTTTCATATGGTAGTGACCCCTATGGTAAATAACAGGAAAATTCCTGTCACTTAAAAATTAGGGTTTAATGGTGAAAACGGGCATCAGTCGCTTATTCTAAACAAATTACTGAGATTTTTCAACCAATTCTCAGCTGTAAATAATGTCCCAAAGTGGTAATATCGTAAGCAATCAATAAAGTACTTCAATCCTTTATCACCAGACATCCTGACGACCGCCATCGGCTTCCCCGAAGAGTGCTGTGCGCCGGAACGCTGGAACCCAACAGGACCCGACCCAATGTTGGATCTCGTCGTAGCACTCATGTGCATGGGGCTTTATCCTAATGTCTGTCTGCACCAGGGCAAGAGGAAGGTAAGTGCTACGTTGCTTCCCTTCTTTACTAGAAGACAGACGTGACAGCAAAATGAAATGGTCTTACTAAGTAAGTATTCCTCTCTAAGAAGAGGAAGGAAAATTACCTTGTTGTGGATAAACAAATTTTTGATCAGTAACTATCACCAAATCTGTTCTACGTAATGTAAACTTAGAGAATTGCCAATATTAATTCACATTAGAAAGACAAAAACATGTAACGGAATATCCTATTTCCCATTTTAGTGGAGCGATTACAGGAAATTAAGGCCTATTAAGTACATGTTTTTGTACTGTTATGAAAGTTTAGATAACTGCGCAGTACATTTAAAATTACTTAGGACCTATGGTCCTCACCTATCACCTGTCTTCGGCTTGACACCTCATAGGAAACACCCCGTATAAGAAAAGGAGGAGGTGGCTAAATGAGCTCATGATGATAGATCTTCGATAGCTTGTTTCTTTCGCTTGTTTTCTTCCTTATTGCATATTCGTTTGTTCTCATTTTCCCAGGTGCTAACAACAGAAGGCAAGCCGGCTCTCATCCACAAGACCTCTGTCAACTGCAGTAACCTCGAGCAGAAGTTCCCGTCGCCATTGTTCGTGTTTGGAGAGAAAGTGCGCACGCGCGCTATTAGTTGCAAGCAGACCACCATGGTGGCCCCGCTGCATCTACTGTTGTTCGCTTGCAGGAAGGTGGAATGGGTGAGTAGCTTTATTACACAATGCCATATAGGTACTTACAGGGTTTTAGGTAAATGGGTATATGAGCCGACACTAGCCCATGTTGACATGGTTATATAAATGGTATGGTGAAATCAGAAAATATTGATATCTTCATTTTAATTATTTTATTTTTCATACAAATCGGATTTTATAAAATTTATTTGGGATGCGTAACTGCCTAGCTCGCATAAATATTTATAACTATGTATATTTTAAAACCTGTAAACCTTTGAAAAAGAGGCTGACAATAGTTTCTTGCGCTGCTTCTTCTCAGCACTGGCCCATTTATTGTCCCGAAGCAGTGGTAGGGTTAATATTAGGACGTGTAAAAGTGCTTTTTAAAAGCCTATTTGCAAAAATAAATGAGTTTAATGAGTTTTTTAGTACACTGACCTGTAATAATACACAATGCTGTCTTCAAAGTCTTTATACAAATGACAGCTAATTTTGTGTGGCAATTTGAAGCGCCACTACGATTGTCCCGAGAACTAATTTTGAGTTAAATTGCAAGGGTAAGCATATGAGTAAGCGAGTAAGAACATCACTATTTTTTTTTTTCTAAATTCGTAATAATTCTACACCGCCTACTTTATTCTCAGTTTGACCCAAGGTTGACTGGCAGAAAATGCTGAAAGACATTAAGTCCGCCTTATGTACACCGTTCTATGTGCATATAAGTTTTAAATAAATAAATAAATAATTTTATTTCCATGGACAATCGTATCTCCCTACAGTATGGCCTACAGCGCCAAAATGGCGAAACTCAAATAGGCACAAAAATATTATGACAGCAGCCAGTCCAGTGTGTAATAATACCGGTCAGTGCTTTAGTATGATATGTAGGTGATTTCAAGAAAGGGGACAGTCACCGACGATTCCGACCCGGAGCAACGGTCGGGAAGCTTCTACTTCCATTACACCCCAATGTCTCAAAACTAAGGGCCAGAACAGTGTTGACATAGGTGAATCATAGTCACACCCATAAAGGGTGACTGAACGTATTATCAGAAATGATAGGAGATCTAAAAACAAAAAGAACCACCATGGTGGCGCCTTCTGTGTATTATAACAACTTGCACGAACTCAAGTGAACGAGTGTAAGCACCCTTTAACTGGTATAGAGAAAAATATTTCAATGGTTTTAAACCTTATGTTGTCTCAATAAAGCTCAAAATATGGTGGCAACAATTCAGCCACTACCATGTAAAGGAAAGGATGGCTTTGTACCAAAGCATGACGTCATTTACAGGCTTGAATTTATTTTGCGTGTAGATCCAAATCTACCTTTAGAACGTAGTCACAATGCGCTCGTTCTTCTTACAGGTGGACAACATGATCCGCCTGGACAACTGGCTGAACCTAGAGATGTGTCCGCGCGCGGCGGCGCTGGTGGTGGCGCTGCGGCCGGCCGTGGAGCGGCTGGTGGAGCGCGCCGCCGCCGAGCCCGACGCCGCGCTGCAGTTCACGCCGCACGAGCAGAAGGTACGGGGACAGCCTAGTGTAGGAAGGGGGACAAACTAGAGCGGGAACGGGGACAAACTATAGCGGGACGGGGACAAACTAGCCCGAGAACGGGGACAGTCTTCTAGGGACAGGGAGAAAAGGGGGTGACAGCTGCCAGAGGATTTAACGCCTCTACACACTAGGGACAGGGAGAAAAGGGAGTGACAGCTGCCAGAGGATATAACGCCTCTACACTTACCCAATGATTCCTCCTTAAGTGTCTAAAATGTGGGGGACATTGATCCGCCTGGACAACTGGCTGAACCTAGAGATGTGTCCGCGCGCGGCGGCGCTGGTGGTGGCGCTGCGGCCGGCCGTGGAGCGGCTGGTGGAGCGCGCCGCCGCCGAGCCCGACGCCGCGCTGCAGTTCACGCCGCACGAGCAGAAGGTGAGGGGACAGCCTGGCCCGGGAACGGGGACAGCCTGGCCCGGGAAGGGGGACAAACTAGTCCGAGAATGGGGACAGCCTACCAGTAGAATGAAGGACAGCGTGACCCAGGTAGGGGGACAACCTAATCCGGAACGGGGACAAACTAGCCCGAGAACGGGGCAAACTAGCCCGGTCTTCTAGGAACGGGGAGAGGAGATGGCAGCTGCTAAAGGATTGACGTCTCTAAACTTACTTATCTTATGATTCCTCCCTAAGTGATTTTTCGTGAACAAACAACTGTTCCAAGCTATATTTTTTCAAAAAATCAAGATAATCATTTTTGTCATTTATCTTTGCAGGTAGTGGACTGCATAAAGGCACTCTGCATCATGGACGCCGGAGATTACAATATCACGCGTGAAACGACTCCCCTCGCGTTCAGACCTGATGGAGCCAAGAGAGGCAACCGTGGGTGGGGTACTAGTGGTCCCCGCGCCGGCTTCGGAGGCGGTTTCGGCAACCGAGGAGGCTTCGGCAGCAACCAGGGTGGTTTCGGCGGCAACCAGGGCGGTTTCGGCGGCAACCAGGGCGGCTTCGGCGGCAATCGCGGCGGATTCGGCAACCGAGGCGGATTTGGCGGCAACGACGGCGGTTTCGGCAATAGGGGCGGTTTCGGCAACCGCGGCCGAGGTTTCGGCAGAGGGGGATTCAGGGGAAACTCCAATTGGCATTGAAGCATTCCTACCTAATTTTTGGACTATAGTCTATCGCCTAGGTACCTCAATGACTATAGTCTGTGATAGATCTATAATAATATGTGTTGTGTATGTAATAAAGTGACAAAGTTTAAAGAAGTAACTAGTTTTATTTATCACATTAGCACATAACAATAGCACTAATCTAAAATAATAATACGATTAAGTATGTGTAAAAGCATATACACAGACCACTCATGATTAAAATAACTATCAGTAAAATACAATGAAAGAACTTTGATAATACTAAAAATAATTAAAAGAAACAAAGTAATTCAAACATTACATCTGATTTTAAGGAAAAGTAACAACTATGATGAGAAGTAATACATTAAAATCTAAAATAAAAACGCCCGTCGGCGTTAGCCTTCGTCAGTCAACCGGATGCTGAACTACTATCAATATAAACTCCTTGTCTGGTGCCACCATCACCTCGCTCCTCTTGCTGCGGATCCTTAGGAACGTCAAGTCGTTGGAGGGGTCCAGGTCCCTGACCACTGCTTTCGCCTTGTCCACTAAAGCCGACATCAGACCGGCGTACTGGACTGAGACGTGGTTCTCTAAAGTGGTCTTGATGGGTATACCTACGAAATTAATGTTTAAAGCTATTTACCAGTAGGTACTCAGAAAATTAATTCTGAGGATATGACTCATTTCACAAAGATTTTAGTGAAGGGAAAACGCTTTCTATTCCAAATTTCCTATAGGTACATAGTGTCAGCAGGATTCCCATGTTCGATTCTGGGTCTGGTTAGGTAATTAAGAAAAATCCTCTCTCTTACTGCCCTACGACAATATTGCATAACGTGCTCTGTGATTGTAGGTACATGTAACAGCGTTTTTGCGTCGTCCTATCCGAATACGTGAAAATACGGCCCGGGAATACATAGAACTATTCCGCGCGGAGTTCACGCGTAGAATCGGAAGTATTGAGAAATGAGGGCTATCGCTTTTATACTTAACAATTGGCACCCCTGGCGATTGACAGGACCTTACTCTACAGTGGCGCCATCTTGATGAGTGCAAATACGATAGTCCTCCTACCACTTTCGCGCTCACCAGTTGGTGCCACTGTCTTCGCTACTAGCAAGTGACAGGACCTTACTCTACAGTGGCGCTAACTGGTGAGCGCTAAAACGATAGCCCTCATTGGTCAAGACGCTCTACTTTCTACTGTGTACTTGATCAACAAGGACTGGAATTTTAATTTGTTTTACCTTCTCCATTCACGATGACGACGCCAGCCACTCCCCGATGGGCGGCGAGCTTTCGAACTGTCTCCTCCGCTTCGTTTGCCATGCTTCAGAAATTAATTTGGATTTGTTTACCTACTTGTAGCCCTGTTTGTAAATTCGTTCTGACTGGTTCTGACACACTGTCACTATTGCCAATGTGATTCCAATTTTAAATTTAATTTTTTTAGTACCCTCATGACACCTAACTTTTTTATGGATTTTAAAATCTTGCGCTCTCGGCGGACTTAATGCCTGAGCTGGCATTTTCTTCCAGACTGACATTTTATCAAACAAAAAGAACAGCACCCCACAAAAAAAATACATTCAAAAAGATCATTTTAAAATCCTATTCATTTATTAGGAATCCTTACTATGCATCTTATTTGGATGATAAGTCAATTTTTGCAATAGAGGAATACTTTATCAGTGTATGTAGCAGCTACTGCAGAACTGTTTTAGTCTAATATTATTATAAATTAATAAAATGATAAAGCACAGTAATGAGACATGTGTTTATTAAGTACACTAGACAAAACAATTCATCATATTAGCATTATGAGATTATAAGGGGCTTGCTATAAAATAAAAACAAGTACAAAATTTATGCTAGTAAGATTGTAAACTTAACAGATAATATAATAATACATGTTTAACAACATTCTACGTTTCTGATTCATCATTATCTCCCATATTCTCAACTTGAAGGTACAGAGGCAGTCTGCCACTTCTCAACTTTTGCCGTTTATGTACTTTTAGTTGATGCTTCATCATTTGTTTTCGATACCCAAAAGCCTTGCCACAAATATTGCAAATATGATCCTTGATTCCAGTATGATCGACTCTCAAATGCATTTCTAGGTTCCTCTTAGTATAGAATCCTCTTCCGCACATTTCACACTTGAAGTCCTGCGGTCCTCGATGTGTCCTAGTATGCTTGTTTAAATTACTTTTGCTAACAAAACAGGCAGCACATTGAGAGCACTGATATGGTTTCTCTCCAGTATGTGACCTCATATGCATTTTTAACGACTCAGAGAATCTGCCTCGATAAGGACATAAAGAACACTTAAACGGTAGTTCATAGAAATGTGTCAGTCTATGGCGTGTGAATTGCCCACGAATTGTAAACGTTTTCCCACAAATATCACAAATATGTGTAGGACTTTCAAGTTTGTGTAGCATCATGTGTTTCTTGTAATACAATGAGGCGTAAGACTTATGACATATAGGGCAGACCTGTCGCCTGTTCTCATGCTCATCTGATGTTCTGTGTTCACTGTATTCGGAGAGAGTATCAAAACCAATATTGCACCTTTTGCAATGATATTCGCTGCACCTTTTGCAGTGATATTCGCTGCGTCTTTCTACTGGAATGTGACAATCTAATGAATCCTCATCCATATCCATGCCCTTGAGGAAGTCATCATTGTCTTCTTGTTTCTTAAGTATCTGGTCAGACTCTTGGGCAGTTTTGCGAAAAAGTATCGCGCCTCTAAGTAGCGCATGGCACGGGCCGCATAGATGTTTTGGATGTCGATCATCCTCATCAATTTCTATCCCGCCGAATGTAGCTAGCGCCTCAGAAATATCTTTTTTGGCGAAGATTGGAATATCGCCTTCTTTTAAACAGACCCGGCAGAAAGTGAGAGAATCATCTGCCTCTCCTCTGGAAGTGGACGAGTGTCTCTGAGAAACCTCTTCGTTTGAGCGCGAAGATCCTTTACATCTCTTCTTACAGTGTAATATTTTCATAAGCAGGAGTGGCCCGACCATTTTGTTGAAGTCACTTGATTGACACCTACAATGGAATACGAAGTTTAAAGAATGGGTTCAACGAACTACGTAAAGGTACCCGTAGGAACCGCGCAGTGAACAGGTATACATTAACAACAGTAACGAAATTTTTCTATTGATCACAGGAATATTCATGAATTTCATTCATGAAACAAGTTGAGTTTGACAGATAGTAGAGATGTGCACTAAGCGGCATCCCAGTGTTGCCAACTCGGATTTTGAAAAAGTCGTAGGACAGATTAGAAAATTACGTAGAAATGGTACAATTACCATATAGAAAATACGTAGATCTACGTACTTTTTTTTCTGAGTGAAATGAAGAGAGTAGGGGTAGGTGAAAGTAATAAAACGACAATTTATATTACCCTGAAAGTAGTAAAGTACACTTTTATTGTGTATCATTTTCAGACAAATTAAATTTATACATAATTATATTTGTTGGAAAGAAGGAAGGAAGTTGAAAAATATCGAAATACAACAACACCTTCGAAATCTTAGCACAATCCAGCACAATCTTAGTTCGAAATATTTTTATAGTGAAGATTCACTTTGACCGTTTGACGGTTTACACACACTGTCACGTCTCGTCACATTTCAAATTTCATAAATCAGTGGGTCTAGACAAAGTGCACATTTTAATCGCAAACCAGTCGAAAAGTGGTCGAAAAGCCTTTTTTTAGTATGGAGTTTTGACGGATTCAATTTTGGATTCGATCAAAAAGTGCACTTTGTCTAGACCCACAGATCAAGGCTTTTCAGTGACATTTACAGGGGGGCGCTGTACAGCATTTTTTCTATGGGGAAATGTCCAAATAACATTAGTTCCGACTTTTGCCACATGCCAAATAACCGTGATCGGAACCATGATCAACTTTTTCGCGAAAGTAAAGGAAACGATGCCCATTCAGCCTATTTTGCAAATTTGATAGAAAATACGTAGATTCTGGGACTAAAGTTCGTAGGTTTGCAAGGAAGGCTTAAAATACGTAGATCTACGTAAAAATACGTAGAGTTGGCAACCCTGCGGCATCCACAGATATGGATAGATGCAGCATGTGTCAAAAATTGTATGAAGCCGAGCGTGCCACTTTTTAAACGTCATTAGTGTCATTTTAGCGAATTTTAGTGATTGCCGCAACGTAAAAGTAATCGTATCATCGTACTGCATTCGCAAAGTCATCGAATGATATCGTGTGACTCGATTCAAAAATTAATTAATTCCAATCAAACTGATATTTTGTTAAATTTATAGCTAGTCTGACTGTGGATTAAAATAATTTTGTAGCGGTAGACGTTATTCTACAAATCTACATTATTAATTTGCAAATAATATTTTTGCTGTGCCTAATGTTTATGAACGTAATGATCGTTATTCCATTATGATAAATNCCTCTCCCCCCAGATTGCATTACGTGACACTAGAATGCCCCCTTAGCAACAAATACCACTTCTCACTTTAAAAAAAAGCTATTTTTGTTTTCACCCACCAGAATGGGTGATAATGGGTAAAAACCGGGTTTTTACCCAAATCACCCGGTTTTAACCCAATCGGGTGAAATGGGTTTTTACCCACTACCCATCTCTAGTGGCGGCATCCCTAATTAACCCTGTGTGCTTTGGAGAGGAATAGCATTGGGTGATTCGATTTGGCTGAATACATTTGATTCGAACCGTGAATTAAAAAAAAGTACAAAACTGTCAAAATTGTTTTCGTTCATTCATCATTCATTCATTCATTCGATCGATTTTTCACACATTCAAGTTCAAGTTCATTTCGTTTTTTCATCAAGTTTTTCAGCTTTTTTGAGCCGACTAAACGTTTTTAATAGTATTGTTTGTTTGGACTTTCGTCTGAATAAATTGCCAACAACCCATTGTCATCATGGATAACGACATAGAAAGCGAAGACGACGATGAAACTCAACAACTGAGGGATTTGCAGAATTTGGAAGCAGTATTAGAAGATGAAAATGCTGGCAGCTGTGCTACTTCCAGGTGTTCAGAGCCAAGTATAATACTTTCGGGTGGTGTGCGTATTCCGGCGTCTTCTCTCGACTCGTTTACGAGAATCGAAACTGCACTTGCTCTAAATAAACTCACAGAAATGAGGCTTCAACGACTTGAAGGTATACTTGTAAATCGTTTCAAACAGAGCACTGGAAAAATAACAGAAATTCAGTCTTCGTATGTCAACATCGAGAAGTATACCAGGCCTACAAAGTTCAGCTTTATTAGCTGTGGAAAGCCATATTTTAAAGATTCTCATAATTTCCCTGCACCAGATAACAGTGATACAATATTGATGAGAAAGTCGGGTATGTACGACTTTTCTTGCGTGGCCTCCGTGCCCGGATGGACTGTGAAAGACAAGAGTGAATTCATTTCATCCATGCTCAAAATGTCAAAAGCTATAAAGATAAAAGAACTCAATTCAAAATTGGCTGAATTCCGACGTGACAATAATATACCTGAAGAAAGGAAATCCAAACTAGTTAAAGCTCTTCAATCAGAAATTAAGTCGGTGGGTAAAAAGTCACTTGATCAATTAGCTTTGCCGTTAAGTTCAGACTTTGACTATGATTGGGAAACTATTGCCAACAAGTTGAACCATAGACACAGTCCGCAAGAATACGCCTCATTATGGAAGTTGTACATGCATCCATCCATTAATAAAGAATGTTGGACTGTAACTGAACATGTAGCGTTGCAACGTCTCGCTCATGTCCATCGATTACAAGACTGGGAATCCGTAGCAGCACAACTGAACACTGACCGTACTGGCTATCAGGTTTTTGTTTATTTTCGCACTAACATGACTAACACTTTATCGGGAAATAAATGGACAAAAGAAGAAGAAGCATATCTCAAAAGGCTCATAGAATTTTATCGTGAAGACAACTACATTCCGTGGTCGAGAATTGCCGCATGTATGGAGAATAGAACGAAAATTCAGATTTATAATAAGTATCTCAGACTGTTGGAATTAAGGAAAGGTCGGTTCCTGACCGAAGAAGATGCAGTCATTCTAACTGGCATTGAAAAGTATGGGACAAATTTTAAGAAAATTGCTGAATTTCTACCTGGCAGGTCTCAGTCTCAATTAAGGTATCGGTACAAAGTAATAGCAAAACAGCAAATGTCTACTGTGTGGACAATATCGGAAGACAAAAAATTAATGCATTTGATAAATAAAGATGGTAATTCAAATTTTGCTAGCATTGCCAAAGATTTTGTTGGTAAAGACCGTGTTAGCATTCGAGCGAGATATATTACATTGATGAAATGGATGAAACGAAACCCTAATGTAGACATTATTTACGCGCCACGCCGCGGTGCGCGGCGCTTGTTCCATGGCCAAGCTACGGCTAATTTGAATACCGCGATTGATGATCTGAAAAGGAGAATGGAATCTGAACTGGAGACAAAAAAAGCAACAAGAATCACAAAGGAATCGACAGAGGAAGAAATAGATGATGCTATCGTAGCTACTCTTACCACAATAATGGTTAAAGAAGAAGAAGCTCATAGAGAGAAGATGGCTGATAAGCTGATTTTGGAAGATGATGTAGTAATCTCACATAATCAACTTAATGCGACAAATTTACAAAAATGCCTTATTTTGTTAAAATCAGGCATAAGCAAACAACAATTTACATCAAGTAAATATGCCAAAAGATATCCTGAACTGTTAATCCCTGAGAAACAAGTGTCTTTAGTCAAAGTGAAGTCATATTCAAGAAAAGATGCGAGCAACACTATAAACATTAAATCTCCACCCAATATATGGGGTGAAAATGTATTGACAAACACAGAGTATGTATTTCCTCCTCACTACACTACGATAACTGGATGCAGGGCATTGTTAGCCCATACTTCGGTGGGAGATTCATTACCAAAGGTTGATTTGAACTTATTGAAAGCAAGAAATGTTTTGTTTAAAGAGAACATGACTCTTTTGATGGAACGTTTTAACAGTTTGTTCTTGTGGCCTATGTTGCTATCAAATGAACATCCGAATAGCGATCAGATGACTGAGTTTTATAACCCGGCTGCCAGAAGAATTCAGCCATTGCTTGCATTGCCTTCCACGTCAGGAATGGAGCAAAAAACGTTACCTACAGTTAAAGAACAAAGTTCTTCTTGCAGTAAAAATAAACAACCACAAATTAAAAAGAAGAAAAGAAAGTAGTATGATAATAAATTATTTTATCCATTATAATATTAAGACTGTGTACCTATTGATAAGAGTAATGTTTTAAGCTTATCAATTTTGTTAATCACTGTGCTCACGTACCTATGTATCAGTTTTATAAGAATGCTAAACCATTAGTTTGCATAATTATAATCTTACTTTAATTAATAAGTAATATTGAATTTTTAATACAAATCTGTAATAAATGAATAATTACTGTGTAATCGTTTGTATTTATCGCTCGCTACAAAGACTGGCAGACAGAAGTTCATTACCCCATCTACAAAGACTAGTTCATTATCCCCCTCCATAAAAACTAGTTCATTACCCCACTCTACAAAGACTAGTTAATTACCCCCTCTACAAAGACTAGTTCATTACCCCCCTCTACAAAGACTAGTTCATTACCCCTCTCTACAAAGACTAGTTCATTACCCCCTCTACTAAGACTAGTTCATTACCCCCCTCTATAAAGACTAGATCATTACACCCTCTACAAAGACTAGTTCATTACCCCCCCTCTACAAAGACTATTCCATTACCCCCCTCTACAAAGACTAGTCCATTACCCCCCTCTACAAAGACTAGTTAATTACCCCCTCTACAAAGACTAGTCCATTACCCCCTCTACAATGACTAGTTCATTACCCCCCTCTACAAAGACTAGTTCATTACCCCTCTCTACAAAGACTAGTTCATTACCCACCTCTACAAAGACTAGTTCACTACCCCCTCTCTACAAAGACTAGTTCATTTATTCGTGGGTGGCAGAGTTATATCTGAAATAAAAATGGAAAAAATGAGTATTTAATTCAAAATTAACAGAAATCCAATTAAAAATCTATTCATAAAATTATTCATTCAAAGACTATCCATTTGTACAAATACACATACAAATCTGACACTAGTTTACTGCACAGTTATTTTCTCTGTGGTCCCCAAATTAAAAAAGTAAACGCCAGCGTACCGAGATGTGTGCTACGATTTTTAATTTCGATTTTTTATGATTTCTAAAGTATTTAAGTGGTTTAAAATTGTAAAATGTTGAATTTAAAGGCATGTGCCGCCTGCCTGAGCACTAACGTGACATTAATCAGTCTGGAAAGTGGAAAATTACGTGAACAATTCTACAAACTAACAGGGCTTCAGGTATTTTGTTTATTTTTACTATAAAAGAGTTAATTCTAATATTTTTAAGGTAAGGGAAGGCTCTAATCCACGTTATAAAAATACTGTATTGTTACATCAACTTAATAAGAATATTTGCATTGAATTTCTTTGGTAAATACCTTGTTGTTTACACCTAAAGTTCATCTTTCCTTTTTAATTAATAATAACGTCACAAAATTGCTTCTCTATAGTTCAAGGTTGAGTTTCCCCCAGTTCAAAAAATCACAAGTTTGAAGTTATGTATTGGCTCTAAAATATTAACAAAGTCTGCATAAATAAATCTACATTTTCTTTTCAACATTAATAATTTTGAATTTGTTTTCAGAGTGCAAGATACGATGGGCTACCAGAATTTTTATGTTTTGAATGTGTTGGTTACGTGAAACGCTTTATCAAATTCCGAGATAAATGCCAGAGAGCACATTTTACCTTCAAGGAATTGCTACTCCAAAATAAAGAGGTAAAAGTACAAAACTTTGTGAAATGATGTTTATTGTTCGTTTATGTTTTAATTTAATTTTCATGAATGGCTCAGGGAATGTAAAATGTTACTGCTAATTTAATAAAATATCTTAAATTTTATGTTTATTCCAGATACAAAAATCAACTCTAGAAGCGATTAATCGGGAAGTTATTGGTATTGCGCCTTCACTGTCATACTTAAATCTAGACAAAGTTCACTATGAGCAAGCTAAGTTTTGTTGGGTTCATAACAACCGGTTATCGGTAAAACATAATGATGATATACCCATATTTACCTATGGGACACTATCTAAAGAGATCATGTTCGAGTCAAACAAAGTAAATGGAGATTTAACTGCTGAAAACTTAAAAGAAGATGACAAGGATTCAATTAATATTAAAGATTTAGTTAAATTTCAAGATGACAATGAAGATCAGGACTTATATCAGCAATCAACATCTAGTCCTGCCAAAAATAAGATACGGACGGTGCTTGATTTTGAGGTTGACAGGTATCTTGATAGTGACAGTGATAGTAACACACTCGACACAGCAAATGATAGTAACACACTCGACACAGCAAATTATAGCAATACTATAGACGAGCCAAGTAAGCTGGAGAACAGTGTAGATGGGAGTGATCTCAACTTTGAATATGCAATAGTGAATCCAATATCGATGAAGGAAGCGAAAGCAGTAGTGGAGATATGCACGTTACTTTGTGATAAAAAAGACAGATATCGCTGTGACGTTTGCAATAAACCATACATTAGTGAAAAGAGGCTAAAGATTCACCAGCGTATGCATGATAAGGTATGGTAGTTTGAAATTATTTACTTATATTTAGTTAGAAGATAATTTTATTGTGTCTCTCTAAAGATCTCACCCATATTCCTCTAAAGTACGGCCAACGAGAAGCGATACCAAATGTAAACAAACCCAATGTCATGGGTGAACCCGTCTGACTTTGACATATTTTGGCGGGAGAACGAGACATTACAAGAAATACACAAGATGGGAAGAGACAGAATATATTGTCAACTCGATAGTCGTATCGACCTTTTGTATCGCTGCTAGTTGGCTGTACTTTACACAACACATTGCCTGTTGTGGTAGTTATAAATTAATATGTATTTTTTCTTTTTCAGTATGTAAGTGGTTTATTTGAATGTGAATTGTGCCATTATTGTTATAAGACTGACCATTTGTTGCAATCGCATATGAGGGAAAAGCATATGTTTAAATATATTTGTAGAAAGTGTCCTGAAGTTAGTTTTGACCGGTAAGTTTTTTTATTGTGAATCCTTCAATTTATATGATGATAAAAAAGGAATTATGAAATGTGTAATAGTGTGGGACGATATTTACAGCAATGACAAATTTTGTTTGTGCAGATTTTTTGGCACAAAAATTATAGTTTTTACGTTTACAATTTGCGAATGGCTTATGTACTTTAACTAAATGTCTTTTAACATGTTTTTTTCAGTTGCACAGCAAAGCAGCACTACTTAAATGTCCACGTGCAGAATGGCATAAGAAACAAAAATGCAAACTACCAACGCCCTGACTGGCTGGACAAAAGAGGTGGGAAACGTCAGAGAAACACCGTCCAAGAACCTGAAACTCACATTAAAAAGAGGAGAAAGAATCCCATTGATTTTCCAGTGTACACACCAATATCTCATAACGAACAGTATGAATTAATTCTCGCCAGAAAGATGACTAAAAATTATTTGGAGTCGCAGTATAAGTGTGAATTGTGCTTTAAAGGCTTCAGATCAGAGACTACCCTCAACACTCATTTGAAAAAACATGACCCGGTAAGGAAAATGACAATTTAACACAATATTTAAATCTTTGGACTGGAGATATTTTATGCAACAATAATCTTTAGGCGGTTTCGCACAGCGTCCGATTCAAATTTATGGTAATAGTATACAGTCTGGAGTAGTTGAAAAACTCTTTGTACATTAGTTTACACATAGATCCGATTTCAGTCACCAAAATTGTCGAGATAGTTTTTCTGGTACCGTATTTAGATTGATTCGGATCGGACGAAGAGCGAAACTTATGCTTTATTTTACGTTCAACTTCCTCTATGTAATATTGGTTGTTTTAAAAAGCTATCTTATTTCCAGCAAATATCCGGGCCGCTACAATGTGATATGTGCAAGCTACACTTCCCGGAGAAACGGAAAATGTATAAACACATGCGGATGACTCACGTTTGCAAGTACTCGTGTCAATTGTGCAACTTTGAGTGTTTCAGTTTGTAAGTTTCGTACGTTTTTTTGATATACTCTAATATTTTGTTATGCAACCAATTTACGTATTGAAGTAAAGTCCGGTCGCCGAGCAGATAGAACTTTCGTACAACGACCCCGAACTACCCATCCTTATCACTCGCGCGTAATTATATTGCTGTTGCGCTCGCACACTCACTGCGGCCGACATCGCACAGTGAGTGTGTTCATCATTGTACGAAATTCTATCTGCTCGACGACCGGACTTTAGGAGTTAAAATTAGCTGTAGCCTATATTGGACAATAACTTTGCTCTGGGCTACCTAATGTAACTTAAATTCTAAAGACGATTCCACGAAACTCCTTTTAGAGATTACTAGCGACATAATGGAATTTCCCGGCTTTTCTCTTCTATAATATGCATGTTTTATACTTATGAACCTTCCTCTTGAGTCACTCTTTCTATAAAAAAAAATCGCATCAAAATTCGTTGCGTTGTTCTAAAGATCTAAGTATACATGGGGACAGACAGCGAAAAGCGACTTTGTTTTATATTATGTAGTGATTGTTATGTTTATTTATTGAGTTATAACGTCTTTAACTTTAATCGATTTTATTTTTTCTACAGGGGCCAGTCAATCACACATTACAAGTGGCACAAAAACGTTATATACCCATGTCCTCACTGTGATAGAAAGTTTGAGTAAGTATAAAATCTATACTAATATTATAAATGCGAAAGTAACTCTGTCTGTCACTCTTTCACGCTAAAACCACTGAACCGATTTTGATGAAAGGCATAGAGATAGTTTGAGTCTCGGGAAAGGACATAGAATAGTTTTTATCTTGGTTTTTGAAACAGGGACGCGCGCGATAAAGTTTTTCTGTGACAGACAAAATTCCACGCGGGCGAAGCCGCGGGCGGAAAGCTAGTAATTAATAAAATAATGTGTACTGTGCATCTCTGTTTAAAAAATAGCTGCGTCGTTTGCTATGAGTGCGAGTATAGATCGTGCTATGTAAAAATCATCATCTAACTCAGTGGTTCTTAACCTTTAAGTCATGAGGGACCATTTTACCAAATTTCTGTCTTGTCAGGGACCACTTATTTATTTTTCAAAATTCTATGAAAGGGAAGGTCCATTTCTCGCCTACTGTGCGCCGTTTGCGTTTGTGTTGACTCTACTCATCACGTCACGTCACTTGTTTATTACGATGTCTTCGCGGACCACTTGGAATGCCTCCAGGGACCACCAGTGGTCCGCGGACCACCAGTGGTCCGCGGACCACCGGTTAAGAACCACTGATCTAACTTTTATTGTTTTGTGTTATCAGGAAGATATCGACCCAATTAACGCACATTCGGATCAAGCACCCGTCGACGAATGTGTGTAGCCTGTGTGGCCATAGCTTCGTGAGCGTGACCGGGCTACACAACCATATGGCCATCTCGCACACTAAAGAGGTCAGTTGTCACTTGTCATCAACTTTCATCATCATCATAGGCTTCCCCCAATGCTTTCCACGTTGATCGATTGGTAGCGGCCTGCGTCCAGCCACAGAATAATAATAAGTACTACGTACTAGAAGTTTTACATCGCGAAGGTATTTAAAAAATGTATGCTCAATGTCATTAACAATATGGTGTAATTTAGCCTGTCTCAAGAGTCAAGCACCATTTTGTTGACAAACGCCAGTGATCGGCACTGCGCCGAAGCTATAGGGCTGACTTCGGTAAAATGATGTGATGTGAGGTGCCAACCTGCGGAAAATGGCGGAGGAAATACATGATTTAGCATGAATTATTATGAATAACATTAACTACTTATTTACCTCTCAGTGTATTGAGGCAACTTAAAAAAGTACATTTTATGTTTTTATTATTATTTAGGCAGTTAAATACTGCACAATATTTAGTACACCATTTTCTTTATATTCTTCCATCATACACAAGAATACGCGTGCGTGAGTCAATGTTCGCTCGTATGTGAGGCCTTGTCGAATAGTATCCTGTAGGTGGGCCATCGTGCGTGTTTTGTTTTCTTTGTAAACTCGCGGAGATGAACAGGCCTGGTCCAGCGCTTCCCTGCTACCTTTACGATGTCGTCGGTCCACGTCGTCACGTCCGTCATCAACTTTAGGATTCTTTTATTTTAGGACAAATATGTTGCTACAGTGGCCTAAAATTCGTATTCACAAACGATGCTTGCTTAAGTGAAGCAGCAAATCGAACACAGCGTTGAATAGAGCTCTGTGATTGGTTCGTGTGTCACCCTGTGCGTCCACGCGCTCTGTGAGACCTCATAGTAATGTTTGTGAATACGAACGTAAGACAAGGGTGGGGCAAGTCATACCCAGCTTATGGCAATTTGAAAAAATTGTCAAACTCCATATTATACAGTTTAACTTTTGATTCTTTTTGTTCCCTACCCTATGCCAAAATATGTAGATCTATTGCTAGAATCCATCCATAAGAATTCATGCTAAATTGGTCTTTATTCCACAGGATGTAGAGTCTACCAAGACCGTAACAGTGGACAAATCCAGCCCGCATTACTGCGCTGAATGTGACGTCCAATTTGTGAGCGCGACGGCCTTCGATACACACCTGGGAAGTTCTAACAAGCATTCGACTATTAATAAGTGAGTATCAAGATCCGCTTGTTCCCAAGGAGTCACAAAACGAGTAACATGTTATAGATCGTTTCATCCACGAAGATGCGCCCTACCACTTTTTGGTCGAGGGAAGCGCGGATTGCGGGGAGTTTGATTGAGTTTGAATTATAGCCACGATAGCCCAACGGTGAAGTGGTCGGACTTACCGACTCGAGATCCGAGGAACGTGGGTTCGAATACCACCGCTGCTCATTATTCAATGCGGTATCAGTACTCAAAAGTTCGAATAATCTTTAGTACTACCACAGAATAATAATAAGTACTACGTACAGAAGTTTTACTTCGCGAAGGTATTTAAAAAAATGTATGCTCAATGTCATTAACAATATGGTGTAATTTAGCCTGTCTCAAGAGTCAAGCACCATTTTGTTGACAATCGTCAGTGATCGGCACTGCGCCGAAGCTATAGAGCTGACTTCGGTAAAATGATTTGACGTGAGGTGCCAAACTGTGGAAAATGGCGGAGGAAATACATGATTAAGCATGAATTATCATGAATAATATTAACTACCTTACTTACCTCTCAGTGTCTTGAGGCAACTTAAAAAAGTACATTCTGTGTTTTTATTATTATTTAGGCAGTTAAATACTGCACAGTATTTAGTACACCATTTTCTTTATTTTCTTCCATCATACACAAGAATACGCGTGCGTGAGTCAATGTTCGCTCGTATGTGAGGCCTTGTCGAATAGTATCCTGTAGGGGGCCATCGTGCGTGTTTTGTTTTCGATGTAAACTCGCGGAGATGAACAGGCCTGGTACTACGCAAGCAATGTAAACTGTTTACTTAAATGACGTCGCTGCTGTCATCATTGACAGCTGTCAGACATTGAGTTGTCACGAGCAGTGTGTTCTGTTTTTGGGCATATTGCTGAAACACCGGCCCCGCCCCCTTTTCACATCTCCCTTTAGTTTCTGTGATCTGTTAGTTGGTCGGTTAGGCCCGGTTTTTTGATTCGTAGTTAAAATAACCAATGGTCAAATTTGACGGATGTCAAATGACAAGTGGTTAAATATTAGAAAAAAATGTTTTTCGAACAATGGTTAGCTTGACTTTTAATACATTTTTAAACTATTAGTTCATTTTTTTTAAATATTTAACCATTAGTAGCAAAGTTTAACAATTTGTTATTTTAACTACGAATCAAAAAACCGGGCCTTAGTCCGGATACTAAAGCTGGCTATCCACCAGGTCGATCCGCTCGCTGCGTCGCACACGGCGCAACCTCGGCCCGCGCGAGCGCGTCCCTCGCACGCCGCGCCCGCGGCGCTCCCGACGCTCTTGGGCCGACATCATACACAACAACGGCGAGCAGACACCGACCACTTGTGAAGTGGTAAGTATACTGACCACCAGGTGTCTCTGTAGCTGCGGCGCAACCTCGGCCCGCGCGAGCGCGTCCCTCGCACGCCGCGCCCGCGGCGCTCCCGACGCTCTTGGGCCGACATCATACACAACAACGGCGAGCAGACGCCCACCACCTGCGAGGTGGTAAGTATACTGACCACCAGGTGTCTCTGTAGCTGCGGCGCAACCTCGGCCCGCGCGAGCGCGTCCCTCGCACGCCGCGCCCGCGCCGCTCGCGCCGCTCCTGGGCCGACATCATACACAACAACGGCGAGCAGACGCCCACCACTTGTGAAGTGGTAAGTATACTGACCACCAGGTGTATTAACTTGCTGCAACAAACGTGTCCCAAGTTCTCAACTTGAGCTCGCGTCACTCGTAGCTCGTTGGTCGACATCATACACAACAACGGCGAGCAGACCCCAACTACTTGCGAGGTGGTGAGTATACTGACCACCAGGTGTCTCTGTAGCTGCCGCAGCTAACGTCATAACAAAGAAGCGTCATAACAAAGGCCCGCGCCGCTCCTGGGCCGACATCATACACAACAACGGCGAGCAGACTCCCACTACTTACGAAGTGGTGAGTATACTAACCACCCTGGAAAACAAAGGATGATGGGCACAAATGTATGGAAAGTGGTACCCGCTCCAATAGCCATGACCAATATATATTTTAAAAGGCCTTTAGATGTAGGAAAATGTCTGCTATGGGGCCAGTTCTAATTCACGTTTTGAAAGCAGTAATTCCACTAAGTATTATAATGAAAGTATAAGGGTTATGATGTTTATTTTTATATTATTCTTACCTAATAGCTGCTTTTTCGGGGTTTTCAGGTGTATTTCATACATTGGTTCAGAGGAATAGTGAAAACGTTATGACCATGTAAAGAAAATTGAAAAAGATATTATCAAGCAAGTTTGAGTAATTGAAATGCTGAAAGAGCGATTTATATTATACAGGGTGGAATTTTGTGAGCTACCACCACAATGCCACCTGGAGGGAAAGTACTCTTAATATTGTAGATAGATTTTTTTTCTCAAAGAAAACATTCCTTTATTTTTGAAAAGAAATAGAACAGCATTCAAAGATTTCCAAAAATTTGCTTGCCACACCCGGGAATCTAACCAACTAAAATCTGTTAAAAATTATATCCTGTATTTTTATTACATCGATCGTTAGGGTTAAGTATAAGGATGAAATCTCTCTAACAAACTTGATAAATCAAATGATAGGAAAACCATGAAATCTTAAATTATTTTAATAATGTTACAGAAAATTGTATGGTAGGTATAGGTGGTGAATTTTCGAAAAAAATTCGAAAATCTTTGAATGCAGTTCTCTTTTTTTTCAAAAATAAAGGAATATTTTCTTTCAGTAAAATTTTCTATCTACAGTATTAAGAGTACTCTCCCTCCAGGTGGCATTACAAAATTCCACCCTGTATAAATACCTCTTTAACTTGATCATCTATTAAAGAACAAGACATGCAAGTGGAGTTCTTAAGAATCGTTTTCTAGTTCTGAATGAAGTGATAAGTTATAAGAATGATACATAATAAAATTATTTACAGTAATATTATACGGTTTACTTATTTTTCAAGACATATTTCTATGTTAAAAACCCGATTTATAACAACATTCTTCATACACATATCTAAAATATAGGTAGGCATTCGTACTTCATGTTCATTAATATTAAAGTCAAATAAAAAATTAAACAGTATCAAGATCGTTTAATCCAATTTCCCCAGTATTGCACTCAACAAAGTTTATTTTCCCCATTTGCCATGAGATTCTGGTACACCTATAGTACTACTAGTAATTCATACTTAATTCCATACTTTTAAATATCCTAGTAAGTAAATGACCTAGTTTTATAAAATAAAGACTATTTTACTCAAGCTTTTTATTTTTAATAAATGTAAAAATGCGTAGTTTTGCCAATACGTTTTCTTTCATAAAGCTAAGTCAGGTACCTAGTTTTGAAGATATTTCTAAACGACAAAATCTCGGGCGTTCGTATACATAGACTAGTAATAGTGTATACTGCGATCACTGACCTAACTTCTTGATTTGTATATTTCGACGTNTCGATTTTAAAAAACAGAAACGTCACAGTGACAAATGTCGCGATGATCGCTGATCGCTGCGTGCAGACGCTGCATAGATCGCCGCGACCAATGACAGGACGCGTTGATGTGAACACATCGCTACAAATTCATACACGCTGTCTGGTCGCCATCGCCATCGTCATCGTGCACGCCGGCTGCACGCGTTGGTCTGGTCTAACCTTTACATTACACTACCGTTATGTGCATGTACACGTGCACACACAAGCAAAGCCCACTCGCCTTTGTGAGTTGCAAGAACTATAACATGTTACTTGTTGGGAAAAATTTCCCATCAAGTCACACTGTTACTCGTTAAGACATTATTTTTACCTATCTTCCCAAACGGTTACAAAGCGCAGCGTGAGACGCCCACCTGCAAAGTGGACAGACGATCTTAAAGTTAGTAGGAAGGCGCTGGGCGCAGTCCGCTACAAACCAGTTAATCTGAAAATCATTGTGGGAGGCCTATGTTCAGCAGTGGACGTTCTGTGGCTGAAATGATAATGATGATGCTGATGACAGCTTTAACCAGCCTCCTGGACTTCTTAGATTTCTAGCTTTCCTAACCTTCTATCCTTCCCCAGTAGCTTTGAACTCTTCCTATTTAGCCATCTAATCCAGACATGGTGACTGGCAGATTTACACATTTTGACCAGTTGGTTATTTATGAAAATTATGACCTATTTTAACATTAAGAAATACGTTCTATTCTATTGTTTTATGTACGTTGATGGCGCCTCAAATAAACGTAGTGTGCTTAAGTGCTTATGTTAGAGCGGTTTCGCACTACGTCCAACCCGAATCTGTGAAGATACGTTCTGTCTGGACTAGTCGTAGAACTATTTGTATGGTAATTTACGAACGGGATCAGAAAATCGTCAACCGATTCCGATTTCTCATTTGTTAGTTTTCTAGATTCGTTTTTTTGCGGGTTCGGATCGTACATAGTAGACCGCTCTTAGTGTAGATTAATTAAAGCTGTCTATCCACCAGGTCGATCCGTTCGTTGCGTCGCACGCGGCGCAACCTCGGCCCGCGCGAGCGCGTCCCTCGCACGCCGCGCCCGCGGCGCTCCCGACGCTCCTGGGCCGACATCATACACAACAACGGCGAGCAGACGCCCACCACTTGTGAAGTGGTAAGTATACTGACCACCAGGTGTCTCTGTAGCTGCGGCGCAACCTCGGCCCGCGCGAGCGCGTCCCTCGCACGCCACGCCCGCGGCGCTCCCGACGCTCTTGGGCCGACATCATACACAACAACGGCGAGCAGACGCCCACCACTTGTGAGGTGGTAAGTATACTGACCACCAGGTGTCTCTGTAGCTGCGGCGCAACCTCGGCCCGCGCGAGCGCGTCCCTCGCACGCCGCGCCCGCGGCGCTCCCGACGCTCTTGGGCCGACATCATACACAACAACGGCGAGCAGACGCCCACCACTTGTGAAGTGGTAAGTATACTGACCACCAGGTGTCTGCTAGCTGCTAGCTGCGCAGTATTGATAGTAGTGCCAAATGTTGGAACTAATAATCCTGTATAGATAGTAGCGCCCTCTTGACAATGTCATAGCTGGGACGGTTCATTGTTGGAAATATATTGAAGAAGAAGAAAGCTAAAGTTCGGTCGCCGAGCAGATCGAATTTCTTGTACACCGTGCTCGCACACTCACATCGGCTGCGAGTGTGCGTGCGCGATAGCAATATAATTACACGCGAGCGATAAGGATGGGTAGCTTGGGGTCATTGTACAGTTCTAAAACAAACATAAACAGTTCTAAAACAAATATGTAATTCCGGTTACAGTGTGGCAAGTTCCTGCCAAACGACGTGCAAGCGAGGAAGCATTACGAGGCCGAGCACCCGGGCGCTGACTACTTGAAGCGGTACATGTGTGATGTTTGTGGACACACCACCAGGGTGAGACGTGATAATGTTCTAGCATAGCATAGTCTTGCATTTTGTACTTTATGCCGTTAGTGTAAGGTCCAAACGACGTGCAAGCGAGGAAGCATTACGAGGCCGAGCACCCGGGCGCTGACTACTTGAAGCGGTATATGTGTGATGTTTGTGGACACACCACCAGGGTAAGATATCATAGAGAGTTCTATAGATGACCCACGCTGAACTGTCCCACCAAACTCAATGACAGGGGGGCGCTACCATCGTTCAAATATATGGTTTCCAACATGGCAAAAATCAGAACCAGCGATCCGGTATTGACGGTGGCGCCCTGCTGTCAATGTCATGGATAGGACAGTTCAGTATTTTGGAACTATAGTTGGATTTTGAACTTTATACCGTTTGTGTGTAAGATGCCAACTCATTTTTGATAGGTTTATGTGCCGTAGATGTGTAAGAATGCCATAACTGTGATACAATATGGATACAGGAATGACAGTGAATATTTTCTAGTACAAGTTTACCATTAGGGCTTAAGGCGATTATATTCCTCAATGACCTTGTGCGCTTGACCTTCACGCTTCGCACAACACCCGCGCACCCCGCACGAAAACTCCGATTTGACACCGCTCAAAATTACACGGGCATAGGTAGGTACAGAATAGAAGCTCTTTCTTCATACATTACTGCCTATTATTTTAAACTTGAATTGATGAACCTTGATGTCGATGTCATTCAACACAAGCGCAAGTGATNTAGCTTCTAATGTTGCCATCCCTCTCACGCAAAGACAGATGTCAGCATGAGCGACTCCGAAAAAACCTTATCCGAAGTTTCGAATGTTGTCATGAGCGACGGTGACAGACTAGTAACAGCGTTTCGGAGTAGTTCTCTAGGCTTCGTGCTCTAGGTTTAGTCCAAAAATCGTTATCCAAAGCTTCGAATGTTGCCATCCCTCTCACGCAAAGCGAGACTCCAGCATAAATGACAGTGACAGATCAGAAACAGCGTTTCGTAGTAGCCTTCTAGGCTTCGTGCTCTAGGTTTAGTCCAAAAATCGTTATGCAAAGCTTCGAATGTTGCCATCCCTCTCTCGTAAAGCGAGACGCCAGCATGAGCGACGGCGACAGACAGACAGCAGCCCTCTAGGCCTCGTGCTAGTACGATGGCGGCAACTCGACGACGTTCCCCGAGGTGTTCGCGCTGGAGGGCCGCCGCCGCCTGTCCGCGCACCAGCGCGCGCTGGCCGGCGAGCGCGCCTCCGACCACGTGGCCATGCTCAACGCCTTCCAGGTGGGTGCTNTTGTTCGTCTTGGTAAGACCATTCAAATGACACTACAAACATAACTATTGGAGCCGGGTACCATTCTGCAAAAAAGTATGTATATCTTCGTACACAACCAGATCTGAAATGGTGGTCATAGTAAAAGTTGTTCATCTTGGTAAGACCTTTCAAACGATACTAGACACATATCTATTGGAGCCGGGTACCATTTTGCCCATTGTCCTTTAGGCCTTGCCGGGCTAGAATGTGCGCCGTGATAAAATCTTATGGATAACTTTAGATTTAGACGACAAATGTATGGACTTATTGCGTAAAGTCAATAAAGTGGAGCGATAAAAGCATAACTCCATGTTTCTCTGTCCTTTACAATGAGGGCTATCGTTTTAGCGCTCACCAGTAGGCGCCACTGTAGAGTAAGGTCCTGTCACTTGCTAGTAGCGAAGACAGTGGCGCCAACTGGTGAGCGCGAAAGTGGTAGGAGGACTATCGCATTTGCACTCATCAAGATGGCGCCACTGTAGAGTAAGGTCCTGTCAATCGCCAGGGGTGCCAACTGTTCAGTATAAAAACGATAGCCCTCATTGTGATCCAATTTTCACCAGCTTTCTTTATTATTTCTTAGATCCATTATTCTCGCGGTCTACCTCTTAGATTAAATTGGTTTAATTAACCAAAAACATATAATTTCAACTGAATTAGCGAAAAAGTGACGTTATAGTTTGTGTTTGCCGTGCAAAATCTACAGCAGATTCGCGCTTTGACAGCTAATAAAAAGTGTCAATCAACTATTCTAAATAAGGTTCTAAAACAAATAATCTCCGGTTACAGTGCGGCAAGTTTCTGCCAAACGACGTGCAAGCGAGGAAGCATTACGAGGCCGAGCACCCGGGAGCTGACTACTTGAAGCGGTATATGTGTGACGTCTGCGGACACACCACCAGGGTAAGAAATTTTTATTTTTATAAATCAGCAGTTGCGCTTGTTACTTCGGTTTCCATTTTAGGGAAAAGTGAAAAAAGGCCAGGTGCAGATCCAGCCTTCAAAAAAGGTTTTGGGCACATTACAGACTGGATGTTGATGTATTTATGATTGAAAATTTGAAACTCGGTTTCTTCGATACTCAGGGTTTATAACATGAAATCACAAATATTTGATGATCGCGGTAAGATGAATGGTAGTCAAGTGCGGTAGGCGCCGGGCGCGATCGCAACCGTTAACTGTCAGATTAATGCTACTCGCTTCCGTGGGTTTACCCTTGAGACCCCACAAGTGACCCCTGGGTGGTGCCAAATGAGTAGCCAATTTCCGGTGGTAGGCGTCGGCCGAGGCTGGTTACCACCCCCCAGACTAAGCCGCACCGCCAAACGGATTACACCGTGTTCCGGAGCGTGTTCTGGGGAAGCCGTTTCGGGAGTATGGGTCCGAGCAGTTGCGTGGATTGTGACATCGCCGTTCTGAGTTTAGCGGGGTGGGCGCATCGGGCGCCTGATTCTGGAGGCTAGCGGGATCCGAAGCACAGTGCACCGCTGGCTGACCGCAGGAAGTTGGGGGCCCAAGTAGCTTGCCAGCCACACGTGAAAGGCTGCCCCGCCACCTAGCGAAAAATCCCAGGATGCTCCACCTTGCCGGTTGGCGACCGGACGGGAGGACCAGGTGGCCATCTCTGGGGGGGTTCGGGCGTCCCCGCGGTCTCCAGGTCAGGCTCTAAACGGTCTGTTAACCCCGTCTGCCTCTCCGGGCGTACATGAAAACGCCTCGCTCAACTGCCATACTCCCTCCACTTATTCACTCTCAATAAATAATAAAATGGTACACAGAACAAGGAAAAAAGTTAAACAGCGGTTGCACGTCCTCCCACTCAAAGTGCACCTCACCAACATACGAGGGCTGCACTCCAATCTCTCTGCAGTCCACCACCACCTTGAGACTGAAAAACCGCAGCTGCTGTTCCTCACAGAGACACAGATCAAATGTCCAGCTGACGCGGCGTACTTGCTCTACCCTGGGTACACATTGGAACATAAATTTCAAGCCCGGGCGGGAGTTTGCGTCTATGCTCGTGACGACATTTGCATTAAACGTCTCAAATGCCTGGAGGTTCCCGGATTCTCTGTGATTTGGGCTTTAGTCGACACGGGCCTGGAGAAATTACTCTATGCCTGTGTTTACCGTTCGCACAGCGGAGACCTTGAGACAACCCGGCTGTTCGACTACCTCAGCCAATCAGCTGATAAGGCACTAGCCCGATACCCTTCTGCGCAGTTAGTCATTTTGGGAGACTTCAATGCACACCACCAGGAATGGCTCTTTCCATACCAGGTGACCGACCATGCCGGGAGAGAGGCACGTAAACTTGCTCTGAGAGTCCCTTATCGAACGCTTAAATTTGGCCCTTCAGGATGTCTCTGATTGGGGCGATGCCAATCTGGTCCAATTTAACGCGTCCAAAACACAGGCGTGTCTGTTCTCCGCCAAACGAAGTCCATTTCGTCTGGCTCCAACATTCCGAGGTGTGCCTGTTAAAATCACCGAGCGACTCCAACTTTTGGGTATCGAAATGTCCAGCAAGTTGAACTTTGGCGAGTACATCGAATCCATAGCGAAAACTGCTGCCAAAAAACTTGGTATCCTCTCGAGGGCAAGGCAGTACTTCTCCAATAAGCAAAGGCTGCAGTTATATAAAGCACAGATCCGACCTTGCATGGAATACTGCTGCCACCTCTGGGACGGCTCTGCCAAGAAATATTTGGCTGCTTTGGATTCGGTGGAAAGGCGTGCCAGGAGACTAATCGACAGCCCGACCCTTGTTGAAGCGTCGCTCCAGGAACTTCACCACCGCCGTAAAGTTGCTTCTCTAACGGTTTTCTACAGGCTACACTTCGGAGAATGTGCGAAGGAATTATATAACTTAATTCCACCAGCCCCTTTCCATCACCGGGGAACCAGACGCAGGCTAGCGTACCATCCCTACATTGTCGACATTCCACCAGCTCGCACTAAGCGTTTCGACGACTCCTTTATAATGCGAACAGCTAGGGACTGGAATTCGCTGCCTGCTGCTGTATTTCCTGAACACTATAATCCGGGCGTTTTCAAGGCGAGAGTGAATAGGCACTTACAGGGCAGATATGTACCATCCTAGACTGCATCTCACTTAACACCAGGTGCGATTGCGGTCAAATACCTGCCTTGGCTAGCATAAAAAAAAAAAAAAAAAAAAAGATTCAACCGTAGTGTTGTGCGCGCACGCTAGTGATGTCGTAATCGATTCCTGAACACAGACATCCGAAAATTACTATACTATCTCGGTGTCCGCGAAAGTGTGACGTCACAAATCACCACTGCTTGTTTGTTTTTTCTTTCAGCGGACTGTTTTCTGTGTTGTAGAAGGCTACATTATTTCTGAATTTTGTTATCGCAAGACATAAGAATGTGTTTTACTGGAAAAGTGCGTTTTATTTTTAAATTTTAACAATGTCATTTCTATTAAAATCCTATAGCGATTCCCTTTTACTCTGAAGGCATGGAAGACCTATAGTTTACAAGAATTTTATTATAATTCCAGCAATACGCCAACTTGATGGTGCACATGCGAACGCACACGCGCGAGCGGCCCTACGAGTGCCCGCACTGCGACCGCCGCTTCTCCATGCCCAGCAACCGCGACCGGCACATCGTCGTGAGTATACAAAGATATAAGTAACTGGTGTGATACTAGGATACAATAAAGAAACGTAGTCACGTGCGTTCACGCGCGAGCGGCCCTACGAGTGTCCGCACTGCGACCGCCGCTTCTCCATGCCTAGCAACCGCGACCGGCACATCGTCGTGAGTATACAAAGATATAAGTAACTGGTGTGATACTAGGATACAATAAAGAAACGTAGTCACGTGCGTTCACGCGCGAGCGGCCCTACGAGTGTCCGCACTGCGACCGCCGCTTCTCCATGCCTAGCAACCGCGACCGGCACATCGTCGTGAGTATACAAAGATATAAGTAACTGGTGTGATACTAGGATACAATAAAGAAACGTAGTCACGTGCGTTCACGCGCGAGCGGCCCTACGAGTGTCCGCACTGCGACCGCCGCTTCTCCATGCCTAGCAACCGCGACCGGCACATCGTCGTGAGTATACAAAGATATAAGTAACTGGTGTGATACTAGGATACAATAAAGAAACGTAGTCACGTGCGTTCACGCGCGAGCGGCCCTACGAGTGTCCGCACTGCGACCGCCGCTTCTCCATGCCTAGCAACCGCGACCGGCACATCGTCGTGAGTATACAAAGATATAAGTAACTGGTGTGATACTAGGATACAATAAAGAAACGTAGTCACGTGCGTTCACGCGCGAGCGGCCCTACGAGTGTCCGCACTGCGACCGCCGCTTCTCCATGCCTAGCAACCGCGACCGGCACATCGTCGTGAGTATACAAAGATATAAGTAACTGGTGTGATACTAGGATACAATAAAGAAACGTAGTCACGTGCGTTCACGCGCGAGCGGCCCTACGAGTGTCCGCACTGCGACCGCCGCTTCTCTATGCCTAGCAACCGCGACCGGCACATCGTCGTGAGTATACGAAAAATAATAGTAATTTTATTTTACAAGGAAAACAATCAGTGTATAACTATAAACTATGTAGACAAACATTTTAGGAAACTTTTAACCATTTTAATAATTGGTGTAATACGTATCACACCAGTGAGCTCATGGAGATCAAATAACTATTGTGATACTAGGGTCCCCCAAGGAACTGGTGTAATACTTGGTGTCCAAGTAACGGGTGATACATGAGGTCATTCAAGTAACTGGTGTGATACCAATGTATCTTACGGGACTATTCCCATCTCTCGTTCCCACCACTGCAACTCTTGTGTAGCCAGGATCTACAGCTTGACCGCCACAAAAACCCAACCAATGAAGGTCAAGTTTGTCCCGGGGGAAAGTTAAACTGTCATTGGACCCGCAACAAAATTAATCAGAAGAACATAGGAGGAGTTCGAAATTAAGGTTCGGGAAGTCCATTGCAAAGCGGAAGACTAGGTGTTTTTCTTGTAAATGTATCTTGTGATACATGGAGTCCAAGTATCATTTATGTGATACTAAGGTTTAAGTAACTGGCGTGATACATTGGATCCAAAAAGTAACTAGCGTGATAAGGGGCCCAAGTAACTGGTGTGATACATAGAGTCCAGTAACTGGCGTGTAACATGGGGTTCAAATATCTAGCGTGTTTTATATGAGGTCAAAGTACCAGTTACTTTATACTACTACTACTGATACAAGGAAAAAATATAAATAATGGGTATAGTTGTTGCGATTCACGAAGGCTATGAGCTTTAGATGTGTGGTGGCTCGCTACTGTTCGCTTTTCAAAAGTTTTGACAGATATTACATAATCGTTATGTGCATGTACACGTACACACACAAGTAAAGCTCACTCGCCTTCGTGAGTTGCAAGAACTACAATCTATCTATATAAATAAAAATGAATTGATGTTCGTTAGTCTGATTAAAACTCGAGAACGGCTGGGCCGATTGAGCTGATTTTGGTTTTAAAATGTTTGTCGTAGTCCAGGGTAGGTCTAAACGGTGAGCAAATACGGAAAGATATGCTTATTATTGCCTTTAAGGCGGAACAGAGTTCGCCGGGTCAGCTAGTAAATAACGTAATTCCAGGTGCACACGGGCGAGAAGCGCTACCAATGCCAGCACTGCCACCGGCGCTTCACGCAGAGCAGCGCCGTCAAGCTGCACATCCAGACCGTGCACCTCAAGATACCCTACGCGCCCTGGGACAAGAAGAACCGCAAGCGACGCAAGGTAACAATATACAGGGTGTTAGGTAGGGTATATGAGCCGACACTAGCCCATGTTAACATAGGCATATAAATGGTATGGTGAAGTCAGAAATTTGATATCTTAAGACCACTTTTTTCAAAATCCTATGAAAGGGGAGGTCGATTTCTCGCCCACTGTGCGCCGGTTGCGTTGTGTTGACATGACTCATCACGTCACGTCACTTGTTTATTAGGTACGATGCCTTCGTGGACCACTTGGAATGCCTCCAGGGACCACAAGTGGTCCGCGGACCACCGGTTAAGAACCACTGCTTTAAAGACTTGTATTATTATTATTACAGGAACTAGAAGGCACGTCAGCACCGGTTAGCACGGTAGACCCGGTAAGCGCGCCCTTCCCCACCAACCCACACAAGCTGATCCTGGAGGCGCAGAGCGACTATCTCAACGCGTACATCACTTACAACGACGAGTAGTGTGAGTGGGAACGATAGTAATAAATTTAAGAGTGATTTCGCACTACATCCGATCNCTCATTGGCATTGGGTGGGAATTGTTATTTTTTTATTTTTTACCTGAACGTTTTGCAAAAACACATTTTATTTTATTAATAAATTATTGAACACCACACTCAAGCTTGCCATCACTGAACCTGAAAAAGAACAGATTTGAAATATTAACAGATTTTTCACAATTTATTTACCTTGCTGGTTACAAGCCAAGAGCAAAACTATGTTAGTTTAGCTTAGCTCCCTAAGCTGACGTAGTTTTCCATAGTGATTGCATAGTTTGTTTCTGTACACATCTATGGAAAATTTCGTCAGCTATGCGAGCTAATAACCTAGCCCTTGGTCTGCAACCAGCAAAGATTGATGGTCGATGAAGAACAAAATCTAACCTATCTCTTTTTCTGTAACTGGCAAAGATCAATGGTATTGATGGTCGATGAAGAACAAAATAGCAGTTTAAGCTTACCGACGTTGGGTTCCAGTAGTATTTCTCGTAGATTTTGTCCCAAAAGCTGTAGCTATCAGTGAACAAGTTTTTCTTCATTTGCAATTTCGAACCTATTGATAAGTGATAAGGTTTGTCGTTCGAGTACTTCCTCCATTTGACGTTTATGAGACTACTTTCATAAGCGGTTGGATCTCTGAAATTAAAACAAAGATACATGAATAAAATCATCGTTTCAATGGCCCCATAATGCCCTAAACAAGACAAAGGATAAATAAATGAACTGTTTACTATAAAACAATGTCAATAATTAGTCCAGTCAATGAATGCTTTAAGTCAATGAACGACGGTGTAGAGAGAAATCCGTGGAACACAATTTCTGACCTCGGGACTTTATTTAGACTAGTTAGGAGGTGAACATAGCAAAAGTCCCCGCCCTTAGCCCTCGAGCCGGCGGAGAGAGGGGGGTTTAAAGGTACCACTTTTCGGTTTTTTGCTTATTCCTCGGAAACTATGCGTCCTAGTGACATGGTTACTATGAACCAAAAAAAGCTTATTCAATTTGCTATAGGTGAGATAGTCAAGTTTTTCTATATCTTGTATAGTTTTCGCGGCATCTGCTCTAGAAGGTCTGTAATATTGGAAATTTTATTTTTGTCTTACATGTTCCCATCAGGAGGAAATCGGCTAAATCAACATTGAGCTAATATTATAGACATGCGGGAGCATGTTAAGCCCAGTTCCAGGGAGGGGACTGCACCGTGCGTATATTTAGACGAACACGAGACTAGGACGCATAGTTTCCGAGGATTAAGCGAAAAACCGAAAAGTGGTACCTTTAAACCCCCCTCTCTCCGCCGGCTCAAGGGCTAAGGGCGGGGACTTTTGCTATGTTCACCTCCTAACTAACCTAAATAAAGTCCCGAAGTCAGAAATTGTGTTACACGGTTTTCCATCTATAATGCTTTATTGACTGGACTAAATATAATTCGAATTACAAAGAAACGTTCTTATTTCCTTATGATTCTTTCACTCCAATGATGAACAGTTCAGTCTTTGTAACCAGAGAATCAGTAAATATCGGTTATGAAAAGGCATTTGAAATTCTGAAACACAGCCCAAAAATAAAAGACACCATTTAAAAAAGATTTAAATCATCGAAAAATATTAAAAACTTACTCGTATTTGGCGAAGTCTGACCACATCCACGTCAAACGGTCTCTTGTGTCAAGATCCCTCTTTTTCTTAGTGTAACCATAGAAGTCCAAAACGTAAGCAGTCTGGTCTCTGTGACTTGCACCCTTGATTTTGTCCATAAACTGATGTTTCGCACTTAGCTCTCCAACGTAAGAAAACTCATACAAATACACAGGCCTTGTAGCAATAGCTGCGTGAAGTTTTGCAGATTTCATTATAGCATACTTGAACATACAATCTGAGAAGTAATCAATGTATGCTCTGACGTTATCGTGTGTCACTTCTTCCTCATTGAAATAATATTTGTATATTTCTTTTGCAACGCTCCCTTTTGTTTTATCATCTTTAAAAGCCAAATCTCCTGGTATAAAATCAACAAATTTCTCATTCATCATCTCACTCCATGCATCAAATTTGCTAGCGCGACTCAAACCTTCCATATTCGCAAATCCAGTCAAAACTGCTAACGGTTTCACATCTTTCTTCTTCAAAATATCCAAAGGAGACTCCGTTAGGATTGCTTGGGGATTATTTTTGTTTTCTATGCAAGGAGCAAACCCAAAAGTGCTGTTAGTCATGAAGAAATTCAGACTTTTAATAGCCAAATCTTTGACTGATGCGTTGAGGTAGAACTCGTTAAGGTCCTTGAGATTACCCGTGTCATTGAATCCTATCGAAATTGCAATGTTCCTTGCGGTAGTTATAGGGTGTCTGTTTATAGCGAACGGTGTTAAAGCTGAACCACTTTCAAGAATGATCTTGTGGATAAGCCCATCGGTTTGTTTAGACAATGCCATGAGCTCTGCAATAGTAGCCCCTACGCTGTAGCCAGCAAGGGTTACATTATCAGGGTCACCACCAAACTTTCTAATATTCCTATTGATCCACTTCAAAGCTGCTAGTACGTCTTGGAGTGCAGCATTTCCTGGGATTTCTTCAGTGCCTAAACAGGCGAACCCAAGTGCTCCAACTCTATAGTTGAATGTTATGCCAATGACGTCACGGTTTGCTACATGGGTCACTTTGCTCATAGTGCCACTGCCTCCAGCAAACGCTCCACTGTGGATGTAAATGACTACAGGGACGAGGTTTTCTTCGCTTGCTACTTCTGGCACCATTAAGTTCATTAGAAGACAGTCTTCTTTGCCGCTTAAGAATACTTCGTCTTCATCATCTTCGCCGGTGTAAGCCGTTTGTTGGCAGATTATGTTCTCTGTTGGGCTTTCGAACAGCCCTTGCCTCGGTTCGACTGGTAGAGGTGCCTGAAATTGTAATAAATAATAGTTTAAAAAACTAAAAACGCGCTTCTAATTACTGCACTAAAAAGCCAAAAAGAAGTTCCTATAGCCGCCTCCTGACTTCATCATCAGGACTCATGAGCCCCTACGCTGTACCAGCAAGGGTTACATCATCAGCTTTCCGCGTTTCGTTTAGGAGTTCCTATGTCCACCTTCTAGTCCCATCATCAGACCAGCTCGATGGTACCATAATATTGTATTGTCATCTAATCTACTAAAGTCGGCCGTTTGGTGTAGTGGTTCGGAACGGACTACTATGCCGAGAGGTCCCGGGTTCGATTCCCGGCCGGGCAGAAATTGAAATGATCAATTTTAATTTCTGCGACGGGTCTGGGTGTGACTAATGACTATGTATAATATTTATGTATTAAAAAAAATACAGTATATAAGTAGTATATCCGTTAAGCTAGCACCCATAACACAAGCATTAAGTTGCTTACTTTGGGGCTAGCTGGCGCTGTGTGAAATTGTCCAAAGATTTATTTATTTATTATTTATTTATTGCCAAGTTTCATGATGATACAAGAATTAGAAGTGGGAGTAATTTAGATTCTAAGATTCCATTACTTAAAGAGTTACATACACGACGACCTAATAAATGCGTGATCACGTCACATCAAGCTAATGTCATTTTAATGTAACTGTTATAAATACTTTTTGCCTACAGAAAAGTATAGTCCGATGTGCTGTCAACTTTATTTATACCTATTTTCTAAGGCTGGGTTGCACCATCTTATTTTGACTTTAACAAACGTCAAAAATCTGCCAAACTCCATATAAAAATCACCGGTTATCGTTATAGTTACCGTTAAAGTTAGGTGGTGAAACCAAGCATAAGAAAGTATTATTTTTACTAACTTTTCGCTTAGACTCGACTTGTTATTTAGTTTAATAAGGAGCAGTTTTTAACCGCAGTTTTGTAACCGTAGTTAATTAATACTCAAACTAAATCAACTAAACATAATACCTTGAACTTGTCTCGCCCAGTGGGTGCCGTAGCGTAAGGTATCCCATAAAACTCATAAAAATCCCCATTCCAGTACTTTCCGCCTTGTACGGGACCCTCTTCTGTTTCTACCGTCCGAAATTTAGGGTCAGCACAATAAACACTTACAATTAACACAGAAAACAATATTAAACGATACATGACTGTTTAGTATGGCACAAGATTTGTTACTACGCTCTTATCAGTACACGATTACAGTCGATAATTCATCAATATTATTTAATATTTCGTAATTAATCTATAAACAAACGCCACGTAAGGTATAATTATCTTACTATCGGAGATTAGCCCATTAATACTATTTTGAAAATTGCAGTGTTATGAATTGAATTTTACTTTTTGTTTCAAAGTTACTGCATTTTTATTCTAAATATTTTTTTAAAGATTAAAATAGTGCAGTTGGCTTTATACGAGTGCTGAAAATGCTAAATGCCAGGAAACTACACTTTTAGGAATTTAAGGAACTACTGCCCGTTTTCACCATCAATTCCTAATTTTTAAGTAACCCCTATGACAGCAAAATTCCTGTTATTTGTTACTATAGGGGTCACTTAAAAATTAGAGATTGATGGTGAAAACGGGCATACATCTAACAAATAGAATACCACGAAAAAATCAATAAAAAATTACTTTCTTTTCTATCCTTATTATAGTAGGATACTTCTTAATTGCCAAATGTCGCATGTCTCTACTTTGAAAACGCATAAAATTTTGTTGTTACGTAGTCAATCCATTCAATAAAATATCTATTGTACTCGTACATTTTCTATATTGGGTGAAGTGGTCAAAATATCGCTTGCAATACAACCCGGGAAAGAAATCCAGTAAAATACACCACATCCGGGAAGACACAAATCATCCCTTTCCTCATACGTCCAATAAGAAGAAAACATACGAAAACTTTTCACGGGTAACGAAAAAATACTCGACTGTCATAAACACATCAGTCCATAAAATAACATAAACAGAGATCTACGGGGGAAATCGCAAAGCCGCGCCTGTGAGAAATATTATCATATGATATCCTATGTGGGCACATTTCTTGTGTCCGGCTGCTGGTGAGGTTGGT